ATAAGAAAATAATACAAATATAAAACAATAAAGATTCTCACGACGTTTCGACTGCAACACAAGCATTCATCGTCAGGTGTGAAATCCACAGCAAGAACAATTTTCTTGCTTGATTTTTATTGTTTTATATTTTTATTATTTTATTATTTCCCTTCTACGTGACTTTACCGAAAGAACCAAGAATAGTATTATGCATGTCATAAAAACGTTCTAGCAGCCTCCATTGCAGCTTACCAACCAGGCAAAAGTCTGGCTTTTTAAAGCGAGAATTGTCGAATGGGAACAACAACTGGTGGAAATGGATTAAAGAGCGTGCTGTCTGCCACGGTTGCCTGTAATTAGCCGGTGGTGATGGAAAGCACATCAACAGCTGGCCTAGGTGTCTCGGAACACCTGCTTGCCGTATGTCACGTGCTGGCACGCATGCATGCAAGGCACTGTTTAAATTGTGATCATTAGCAGAAACCGTTTTGCTTCGGTTCCTAGAAAAAAGCACTCGCTTAACGCCAACGCAGTGATTAACGCGCGCATTTGTAAATTGCCGGCATTACCACTCGCTTGGATAAATACTGAAATGTGCCCCTGCAATACGCCCCTGCAACTTACTCGTGCCAGAATTCATTATAAATTATGGGTTCTTTCGTGATTTTTGCACCATAATGGGGGTATAAAAATTCTAAATCCTGCTCAATTGAGGAATTGCTGCATTGTATATGAAATATATATGCATTTGTTATTCTTATATTTACCTTTATTATATTTGTTGTAGAATTAATGTCGCTTTTTTGCCAAATGCGATTAGTGTAGGATGCTTTCTTAGTGTAATGGTTATCGCACTCGACTTGCAATCCAGACGTTGCCATTTCTATGTCTTGGATGCCAGTTGAAGCATTGGGCAAAACTCTTAAATGCTCTTCCCTTGCGTCTGCCCACCCCAGCAGTAGAAGTGGATACACCACACATATGGCTACTCCCACCTCTTCCAGGGTGTTTGTCCCATGTGGTATGATAGGGGAAAACTACCCTCTTAGAGGGGCTCCCAAGAACTCCCTCGAGTAGAGGCCCTTCTGCCAGCATTGATGCGAGCAAGAAATTGCAGGGCTGCACCTGGACCTTTGTGCCAATTATTTTTCGTGCTCACCAGTAGCTCGGTTAAAACAAACTCTATTTCAACTTTCCAGTTGTGCATTGTGGTTACAGCACAGCAGTTGAAAGTACACAGTCTCCTAATAATTGACGGCTGCATTGGATCCCGTGTCATTAGTTGCAGAATTAAGCCATTTTTGGGTGGAGATGCAACCAGACATTGAGAATTGCCCCCAATGCGCTTTTGTACGCGTTGGTGTAAGCACAGTGTGTGGGACTGACCTTTATTAACCCAACTATTGACTTTTGACTGTCCTCTTTTTTTTAATGATTGCCCTGGCCAAGATGCATGTTTGCCGAGTTAAGGCAGGTCGTCCTGTTGTTTAACAATTTCAAAGCAATGCTACGTGTACAATTGCATGGGAATATTGGCCATGTGCAGTCCATTTCTCAGTCCACTGCTGGATGAAGGCCTCCCCATGCCATGTCGGTCATCGTTATTGTTTGACCCTACATGTTTGACCTGGACAGTACTTGACGCTGGTTCTTTAACCATGACCATACTTCATTATTCTGGTCAGTGTGGGTTGAAGGCATGGAAGGGACCGACGGGATTGGGGGTGCAGCGTTGAGAGTAAGATGTCACTCGTCAGCTTAAGTCTAATAACCCATGCAATATAATATCGTTGGCAATGAAAGTTAGATTTTTGTGGTTTTGGGAGTGGGGGTGAACACAGTAGGATTTGCTGTTGCTGTTTTTGTTATCACTCACTGCTTTGTACTCTCATCTGATCACACAGGGTGAATGACCCTGAATCTGCAGTTTCTCAGTGGGTCATTTCATCACTGTGGGTCTGGTGTCAAATGGTGCTTAGTAGCCGTCTGCCTGAGCCAATTGCAACAGATATACATCGTCTCCTGTTGATCTGCCATCGTTTATATGTAGTGGCAAATAGTGGCGTGCTGTTGTCGGTTAGCATTTGCCCAGTCTGCGTGCACTAAAGAGACTGAATATTCTTGATGCGCAGCTAGGGATTGTGTACGGATGACCGTGTAAAATGTTGAACAGATTTTGTTCATAATATAGCCAATTTGTTTTAAAAAAATCTGAGTTTCTTTAATGGAATAATACAAATTCAGCGCAATCCACTCAAAGACATCTCCATGATCTGTCAATTGCGTTGGTTGTTTGGCCTGGTCAGTGTGGTTTGGTGAAGGGGTTTTAATGTTAGCTGCGGTCGGGAAACCAACTTGGGGTTGCCAAGCTCATAGTGTATTGCGTGAACCACTGTACCATCACTCACCCCAGATGAAAGATGTAAAAATTTAAAAACGTTAAATAATGCTTTAAAAAAACAATCTGTCAGCAAATGAAGTTTGTTTTCCTAAAAATGCAACAGAAACAACATGGACTCGCAGTTACATGTTTGAGAAAAATCCTCCAAGTGGATGTTTTGGTCTACGCAGCAGTAACAATGTGATGCTTAAAGTGAAACATTCATCTCAGCACGATTATGAAAGCCACTTGGCTTTTTGGCAGTCGCTGGATGAAACAGTGTTTGTTTAATTTAGAGAGGTCAAACAAGATCGTGACATGCCCGTGATAAGCTCTGCAGCAGACGGCAGTGTTTTGATATTTGATATGCGTCATCTGAATCTTTCCAAGGGCCTCCGAAGGTCATCACCACTTAAAACAAGTTACCTTTTGCATTGTCTCACCGTCTGTACTTGGGAGATACTGAATTGGTTGGAGCTAGGTTGGTGCTGACCCCCATCATTCATTGCGTGCCATGATAGCCTCAGTCAAATACTTTAGTCCAGGGTTCTTCAACTATATTTTCCCATGGGCCACATAATAACAAACTTAATTTGGAGCTTTCGTGACTGCAGGAATTACTCTTTGGTTCTTTCGGTAAAGTCACTTATAAAGATAAAGTAATAAATTAAATACTAGCATACGACGTTTCGATTGCAACACAAGCAATCATCATCAGGTATAAATGAAATAGAAACACACATCTAGTATACTTAGAAATGTAATGTAATACAACAGAGAGTCGGATAACAGTCAACACCCTACCTGGTTGATTACGTTCTTCCTGACAATGCTAAATTTGAGAGAGAGATAAAACACAGAACCAGAGACATATAGACAGACATATAAGCAGACAGATATCACAGAGATACATAGAGAGAGACAAAACATAGGCACACACATAATAACAGTTTGTGTGTGCTGGTGGGCCATGTATCATCACTCGTCAGACCTCGTAACATCATAACCTCTATACATGTCACCATTAAAATCTCTCCTCCCAAAGTCCTTGTTATTCCTCTCGCTTTCATCTTATTAATATGCCTCCCATTTACGGCTCTCATCTCGATGTGTCCTTTGTCTCTCTTTTCGTCTTGCAAACCTCGACAAGCTTCTATGTCGCAGCAGGCCGCACCTCCGCAAGCCACTCGAGCCAGCCTTTGCAGTCCACATCTGGCCCACGGGGCCGTCAATTGAGGAACCCAACAATAGTTAAAATGTCTCCTCGTTACAAAGAGCGTGGCGCCATGCTCTTCTCCCTTTGGCGCTGTGTCAGTGACGTGCATTCTATATATTGACAGCAGAGGGGCGCAGTCGGTGCATGACGGCTGAGATTTGAGATCGCAACTTTCCATATTGCGAGTCGTGGTCTCAGACGCCACAATGGCACATGGTCAATTATCCAATCTCAATAGATTCCCGATATTAGCAACTGCCTCGTCACCATACTCTTTGGTTCTTTCGGTAAAGTCACGATCGAAACGTCGTGATCTATTATTTTTTTCTAACTACGTGACTTTACCGAAAGAACCAAGAGTATGGATTCCTGTAGTCACGAAAACTTTAAATCAAGACCAACCATACTAAGAGATTATCTGTGTACACGTGTGTGTATGTGTTCACGCATTTCCTTGGGGGCCTAGTAGCACAGTGGTTAGTATACAGAATCGGTTTCATCACAGTTGTGCAGCTGAAAACTGGAATTAAAATCAGTATTTTGGTGGTGCAGGCTTAACATTCTGAGCCAACCAGTCCACTCCATGTCTCTTACATTTATGGACTGTTCCCTCTCAGTTTGGTTTGTATGCTCCAACTGCATGTATTCTTGGCCAATTTGAATGTGAATACTTTCCACATCACCTTAGTTTATATCCTACTTTGGGTTGCCAGTGGAGTGCTCTGACCTCTTAGCCACCCTGCCACCTCAGTGGACAATCATATTCAATGTGATTGTCTCTTTGTAATCATTGGTGGCTGGGGCTGAGACCATCGGCTTTAATCTGGGAAACTGAATTCAATCCCAGGATCTCAGCAGTGCCAGCTCAGTGCTCTGCCCTTTTCAGCCAGCCAGCCACCTCTAACCATATTTTCTTTACTCGGGAGGCAACATCATGCATAAAGGGCATCTGAAGGTTGCGAAAGGGTGCGAAGTTTCAAATTATACGTGATTACTTTCGTGGAAGTCATTGGGATGGGTAAAGACAAAAAAAACCTAACAACTTAGTTTTGTATGTATGTTGAACTGCTTTCGCACCATATGTAGCAAACCGTGCTATGTATCAATCGGCATCGCCAGATGGAACTATGAACTGATCGCAAAAATGTTTGCGTGTGCGAGAGGGTCAGCCTCATCGTACATTCTGCTTGGATTGACATATCGCGGTGAGATCTGTCTTGACACTAAAGTACTTGGCGCATATTCGAGTATTTGGTTGCTTTACATTTCCACGTGATAAGCCACTTCGTTTTGCTGTCATTTGTGGCCAGGACGCTTCTGAAAAAAGAGCTGTAGAGCTCGATGGGCCTTACCTGGCAAAAATAAAAATAGTTTAATATTTTTAAGCACCCTTGGCCATCGCGCTGCCTCGTCCCTTCACAGCTCCAGGCGTGCTGTCGGGTGGCTTGACGCTGGCGCTGGCCGGGCCACCGCCTGCGTTCGTGGAGACGCGCGAGTGCGTCTACTTCAACCTCAACTGGGAGAAGGAGGGCACGGCCGCCGGAGGCACGGAGGCGTGCGATGGCGACCGCGAGAAGCGGCAACACTGCTACGCGTCGTGGCGCAACGTGTCGGGTGGCGTGCGGCTGGAGAGGCAGGGGTGCTGGCTGGATGACTTCAACTGCTACGACAGGTGAGCGAGCGCGCCGTGAGGCGGGGGGGGGGGGGCGTGTTCGGGAGGTTATTGTCGCCGAAGCGGCTGCGAATTCACCGCTCGTCGGCAGCGGTGGTGGTGGTGATAACGACGAAGAAGAGGGTTCGCCGTTCGAATCCGGAGGCCACAATGATTGATACCGCGTGGTGCATTGTCCAAATGACGAGATGTGTAGTGGCCACCAACGGACTATCTGCCCATGGATCGAGATGATGCTGCATTGTCCGTAAAAATACATGCTGTCTGCTTCGCGGTGGACATTAAAGATCCCCTTGAAGTCGTCCGAAAGGGTAGGCGCCATCGTGTGCTGGGTTCACGGTCCAAATTTGGCAGATTTTTTAAATTACCCGCAAGTTACTCGGTTTGGATATGCATATCAATCCACGCTACCTCCTGCAAAAACTTGGCAGGACCCTCGTGAAAAAAGAGTCCTGAGCCTCGGTGAGGTTTTCTTGGGTAAACAAGTATAATTAAATTTAGATTTAAAGCTTTCGTGACTGCAGGGATTCATATTCTTGGTTCTTTCGGTAAAGTCACGTAGAAGGGAAATTTTCTTGCTGTGGATTTCACACCTGATGATGATTGCTTGTGTTGCAGTCGAAACGTCGTGAGAATTTTTATTGTTTTATATATTTTTTATTTTATTATTTCCCTTCTACGTGACTTTACTGAAAGAACCAAGAATAAGTATAATTCCGGTTTTATTCACTGCTGGATGAACGCCTCCCTAAGCCATGGCTAGAATGTTTAATTTTCACCAGTGGTTCAGGGCTCTGTAAGCAAGGCGATGATAAGCACACAAAGAAACACCATAAGTGATTTTATGACGCCGTTGAAGCCTTTGGAGCGCCACCTAGTGGATATGCTGGCAATTTCTCTCCATCGGTCAACTGTGGCCCTTTGTGCAGTAAACCTCCGGAGAGTTGGCCGTGATTTATAGCGCCCTTGCTGCAGCACATTTCCACACCGGATGCCACCTCTAATTCGCAGACCCCTATGCAGGGGCTATCGCTTTACAGCTCCCTGCAAGAATCCACAAGCGCCGAACACTTACACAAGGACCCACTGTATGTCGCGAACTGAGATTTCAGCTGGCTTATCTTAGTCGTTCAACTGACCGGCCATGCATTGCTTACGGAAGGTAACCCCTTAAAGTTCTATGCCACATTCGGTGTCTTTAATTTTTTTCCTGGTGAAAATCCACTGATATACAGTGCCCGTGAATGTGTAATTAAAATTATATTATGGAACATTAACCAGCAGCTGTCAAGATATATAAACTAAGGTGGGGCAAAAGGAAGTTATCAAATGTATTTGTAGTCAGGTTTTCTAAGATTGCGAAAACAACAATTTCAGGTTGTCATAGAAACCCAAATGAAAGAAAACGGTTGTTAAATGTTAAGGAATCATGGGGGTGGCCGGGTGGTTCGGAGGTTTGAGCACGTGGCCGGATCACGCGGCCGGCATTGTTGACTGAGATTCTGGGCTTGGGTTTTGTTATGAACCAGGTTCTCAAAGTATTAGCGAGTTGATGGTCTAGGCCCATTTGCCACTCACTGCTCAAAACAGCATTCACGTTAAATTTAGCCCTGCACTTATTTGAGCTAAATTCCAATTGAAATTAATAGCTTTACTTTCGGGTAATGAATATTACTCTGCAAGAGCATGGGAAAGTGCCACACTCTAGTATACGGATTAGAGCATGCTGGAAGGAATCTCAGAAGTAGTTGTATCATGTCTGCTTTAACCAGCGATTCTCTTACAAGGGTGGGGCGAAGGCTGCATTGCTCTGCAACATTTCTGAACGGATTTTCCATCGCATGTCATCTTGCCGATCGAGTATTATTGTAGGAATGTTGTGGGTTGGTGAGGAATGAAGGAGCATTCTCCATATCTATCATCCTGTATTTACATCCTGAAGCTCCTCGGTTCACCATTCATTGATAGTTTCCACACGGTTTTTGTTTCCAGTTCATTAATTTTACTTATGCATTGTGCACCACTGGAACTCATGAAGGCGATCGATCACGTTAACTCTCGCCCTATTTACTAAACAACCACAGTGTTCCCACTCGTCTTAATTTGCGTCTGCATTGTGTATTATCTCGGTGTGGTCTGGGACTGTTTTGTTGTTTTTTCTGCCTTGTCCAAGCTTGATAAATTGGCCTTAAATAAGTAATTTATATTCAGTGACTTGCTTATCCTTTTCTCTATTTTGCACTCCTATATGTTTTTTGTTTTGTTGTTTGTTGTTCTAACTTGCTGACCACCCCGCCGCCATACTTGACATCTGTGCAAAAAAACGAGCTTCATGGAGCTCATCGGATTCCTCCTCCAGCAGTCTTAAAGAAGGACTCCGATTGATTGTGATGAGCAGGAGCGAGTGCGTGGAGTCGAGCGAGAATCCCGCCGTGTACTTCTGCTGCTGCGATGGGGACCTGTGCAACGCCATGTTCACCCACCTGCCCGTCCTACAGCCCCGAGCCCACGGTCAGTGTTTTGGGAACACACAAAAGACAACTTTTTCTTAGTTAAAGCCGCCGGAAGAATCCTTAGAGCTGTTGTTGTTAAGTTATTTTGTCACAGGTTGTGTCCAAGCTCAGCTGGTGGGCAATGGCAATTTTTTTTTTTTACAGAGGGAAACTAGGTACCTTCAACGACCGTACGCAAGCTTGAATGAGACGGCATAATATAATGTAGAGAAATTTTTTTATCCAAAAAGCAAATAGTTAAACATTACACAAATTATAAATTAGACATTTAAAACTGTAACACCATAGTTCTCAAAATCACATTTGCAAGTCACAGTTGACAATGTGGCTGTCGTTGAAATCCAGCACATCCATCACGAACCCTGGTCTATTGGTGGAAAATGCCACATTCCCATGGTGGAAACAAGTCTCCTCTCCCTTAGACAACCACGGCTGACTTTCACACGAGGTTGTATGTATTTTATCGACCCTATAAGAGGTGATGGGCTGAGTCAACCCTCAACCAGGATTTGAACTCGCAACCTTCCCATTGAGAGCCGCTCGCTCTACCACTCAGCCACGTGGTCGGTAATATCAGTGCATCCTCAAAATAATGTTGGCGGATATATACCCTGCATGTCCTGTGTATCATGAGTTAAAAACAGTAGCGGTGCAGTCCTGCAGTGAGCCGCTCTAGGACTCCCGTACGCTTCAACAGAAATTACCCAGACAGCAGGATTTGAACTGTTGACCCCGTGAAAACCGGTCCAGTATTAAGCTTGGGTTGCCAGCGGAGTCTCAATTCCCACAGCCACTTTGAATTTCCTGTGGCCCAATGTTCGAGCGTGTGTAATCTTCTCTAAAGTAGATATTAAAAATCCCGGGATTAATTTTGCAAGAATATTATATTTACGTGTCACTGTCATGACCTAAATCAAATCTTTGATTAACCCATGGCTTCAGCGCGAGTTAATTAAATACTGTTTCTGCAAACCTAGAGTTACATTAGGCTACTGTGATAAAAAGAGCTAATCTCATTAGGCTCTAGCACCATTTGCATTTTTAAAAGGGAAAAATGTAATGGTGCAGCCCTGCAATTACCTGATTTCATCACTACTGGAAGAATGGCCTCCACTAGAAGGAGCTCTAGAGAGCCCCCGCAGAGGGTACTTGGTCTGCTCTTCCACCGTTGCCAGACGTCGTGGAGAAGCTGGGCGTACCCACACTCTATCCCACTACATGCGACCCACCACCGATTGACTAACATTTGGCACCGCTAAATTAAGAGCATTTAATAGTATTCGAACCGATGACTCCTGGGTCCACAGGAAAATGCACTCAACCATTCGGGCAACCAACCACCAAGTAATGTTAATGATCTCATTCCTTGTAAATATTTTAGTGTTTCATGCTCATATGGGCAGTGCCTCACTCTGCAGTGATGCACTGTAGGGCTTGTATAAACACGAGCGTTAAAGCTGGAACTACAGACGCCTACAAAAACACACGGCGTTGTAAACACTCACACAATGTATAATCAATTTGAATCGGAGACCAGTGCATTTGTCGCAAACTAAGTTTCCTATTTCACAATGAATGGTTTTACAGTCCATTAAAGAAGTACCACGCAGTGACTTTATATCGACCTGTTCTCGGTCAGCAAATGTACGTGTTTGGTGATAGTGCATTGGCAGTGAAGCTCAAGCACAAATAACAAAATAACTCGACACATTTGTCATTAACACTGGCCTTAAAATGACATTTCTAGGTGACATTTCGGGCAATGGGCCTTCATAGAAAATAAAAGTGCAATGACGAAGGGCCATCGTTTGTGCAGTCGAAAAGGGCCATTGCACTAAATGTCGACTTATATATTTTTCCTGTTAAGGCAGTGATATTGATGAATGTGAGTTTTTTGGTTATTTTTTCATCAAGCACATTGTCAACAATGTCTTTTAGCACTGTAATTATTTCAGAATTTTTGTATTAAACAAAAAAATTCTATTTTTTGTATCATGAACAAAAAACAATTATTGCTTTGCAGAAGTGAAAATTGCATGGTTTTTCACGTGGTAAAAATATTAAACATTAAACACATTTGTTAAAAAGTCACATTTCAGATAAATAAAATAGTTTTGAGCAATTCAGACAGCCAGTTTAATTGTGTTCCAGATGATCTTCAGTAAGGCAGACATGAATTTTGGCCAGATCTGTCCATAAAATACTTCCGCACCAAACAAACCACATTCAGTAGACCTCTTGCTGTGGCTACGAGACATGTGCCGCTTATTCCAGTCCACAAGTGGCCCGGAATTTATTAATTGAGAAATTAAACCCTCGGCATCTACGATAACGGATCCTACTTCCATACTGCTAAGCATGGTTGTCGGCACGCTTGTCTAACCATATAGCCCGCACGGTTTCACTGACGGCTATTTGTATCAATTAATCCGAGACTCTTTGTAATCTGGCCTGGAGTGTGGTGCTCTGAGCACTCTGCCATAGTCTTCTTTCGTATGATGGGGAGTTCATCAGCGACGTTTATTTGTTCATGTCGAGGTTGGCGAGTGAGCCAAGTAACTTGGCAATTGATCAAAAGCGGGCATTGGTGTGATGATTTTACAACCTCATTAATTGTTTTTGCATGCTTAGGTTTTCGCAGTTGTGCTGTATAGCTCGCCAAATTGTTTCCGGGCGGTGCCGCTTGTGGTTCGGAATGATGTCCGACGTTTCGCTGAAGAAGCTCCCCGGCACGCTTACCCAAGCTCCTCTTACCCCTCCTCCATCATTAACACCGTAATCCCCTTTCCCAACTTCGCTACCCTTTCATCACAGTCCTCACTAGACACTCATTGTCACTTTCATCGATCGTTTATTTCGCGCATCATCATACTCGCGTACCGCCATGATTCTCATAAACTCATCTCCCCTCATCACACTTTCTGCTGTACAAAATAGTTAATTCTTTGTTCAGCGCCTTGGTCATCCCGTGTCTCCTTGTAATCTCTCCTGGAGTGTGGTGCTCTGAGCACACTCCAGGACAGCACAAGGCGTAATATCAATAAAAATACGATAAGGTGACCCTAACTGGCTTACTGTTGGGGCTCCTGTGCAGAGGGGGCTCAGCCCGGCGTGGCGGAGAGGCAGTCCACGGCGTCGGGAGCCTTCCTCTACACGCTGGTGCCCCTGCTGGCCGTCACGATGGTGCTGCTGCTGTCTTTCTGGACGTACCGGCACCACAAGCTGGCGTACGCGCACGCCGCACTGCCTCCACAGGTGTGTGTGTGTGCATGTGTGCTCCAGGACACGAGGCGGCGGCCGGCATTTGTCGCGTGCTTTTGTGTAAAGTTATGGGAATAACAGGGACGTGTCGGTTTGCTTGCGAGTTAGGCCCATGAAGAGATAGGTTCAGAGTGTACGATAATACGTCACGTTTCCAACCGTCACATCCGGTTGCCCTGAACAATGAATCACTATTCATTCGCAAGTAACTGTCTGATGTACAGTGATGCTGACATGTTTTCAAACTTAGAAATAATTGACTCGTACACGGACACTGTGCATGTATTATGTTCATGAATAAAAAGCCTTGTAATTAAAATTATTTAAATTATGAAAGTAGTTAAACATCTCCTTTATGGTGACTTCTGACAATAACCCATTTCTCTAGTTACAGTAAAGCCTTGGATTGCGAGTGACTTGGTCTGCGAGTGTTTTGCAAGACGAGTAAAAATGTAAAATGAATATAAATTTGATAAACGAGCGAGGTCTTGCAATACGAGTCGTACGTGTATCCGCTTTGTCTGCCGAGCGTCACGTGATCACAACTGATATACGAGTGCTTTGATATACGAGTGCTTTGGATTACAAACACGTTTCCAGAACGAATTATGCTCGCAATCCAAGGTTTTACTGTATAGAGTTTATGGTGGTATGTATGTATGTTGATCTTCTTTGGCACTGTACATAACCAACCGTGCTAATCGGAGGTGCGGGGGAAGGACAACAAACTAAACACAGTGGGGGTCGTGTTTTTTGTGGCGGGGATTAAGGTAGTGATGATGACGATGCTGTGGTGATGGTGGCGGTGTGGTGGTGGCAGTAGTAATGATGGTGGTTTGGTGATGATGATGATCTTGTGGTGGTGGAGGTGGTGATAGTGACGGTGGTGACGGTTCTGTTGCCACCAGGAGGCAAGCCTGGCACCCCCGTCGCCCGTGCTGGGTTTGCGACCCGTGCAGCTGCTGGAGTTGAGGGCCCGCGGCCGCTTTGGCTGTGTCTGGCGCGCTCAGCTCCTATCCCAGGTCGTCGCTGTGAAGATCATACAGCCCGTGGTAAGGCTGCACACACAACCTCACGAAGGCTGCTGTGCCACCAATCGACCTGGAAATATTCCCGTCGATATTTAAGTTTTTTTATTGTATAGAAATAAATTATCTCAATGGAAAGACAATGCAACGGCCACAGGTGTTACATACTGTGGTTCATGGCAGCGGACACTTGAAACTTGCAATATTGCAAGTGATGTGATCCAAAACTCCTCGTATTTTGTAAAATCTGTATGGTGTGTGCAAGGCTTCATATCAGCTGGGTTTTTTCAGATCGGTGACCCTGAAAATATTTTCCCACCCGGCACCATAACGTCTATTGTACATCTGGCTATAGCTGTGACTACCTAGTCACATACTTACTCCAGTCTTATCAGCAACCCAGGACGTATGCCGTAGGGGATTGTTATGAAAACAAGTACCTTTGCCAATGGTGGCAAACCTTTTTATTAGGAAGCAACTGCAGCTATGCACTTTTTAATCTAGGTTGACAACATATTTCTTTATTACTGCTTTTTGTGTTTTAGTTTGTTGTCCTTCCCCCACACCTCCCATTAGCGCGGATGGCTATGTACAGTGCGAAACGAGTTCAACCTACGTACATACGGTCTTTAATTAGTAATTTTGGTTTGCATTGTTTGTCGTCTGGATGCACGCAGAATAAACAGTCGTGGCAGAACGAGATGGACATATTCCAGACGCCGGGCATGAGGCACGAAAACCTGCTGGAGTTCATCGGCGCCGAGAAGCGGGGAGCGAACCTGGACATGGAGATGTGGCTCATCACCGCCTTCCACGAGCGGGTTCGTACGCGCAAGCGCCGCGCTCGCCATCGTCATGCGCGATCGTACGCAGCACCTCCGATTGGCACAGGTGGTTACGTACGTGCGAAAGAAGTTCAAAGAAAAAAAATTCTCCATGTAACTTTAACAGACTGTTGGGGCAATTTCTGTAAGCGAGCAACTGATGAAGGCCAGCACGGCACACAAGTGGCCAGCGCCACACCTGTCCGCCTTTGTCTCCCCATTGGCCATGTTTACACACCGCCCCAGGTACTCATTTGAGGCCGAGTCGACCTAGGGGAGGCCCAGGACCGGTTCAGATTATTTTCACTGGTTCGTAGCGCAGTTCGCTAACCACTGCGCCACCGCTCTTGAAAGAAGTTCAACATACATGCATACATATATGCTGCGGCTCGCACACACGCGGCAGCAAATGGAATCGCATAATGGGTACGTTTGTTTTTTGTTGCGCCGTAAAATAAAAGTTTAGTTTCCAATAACTCATAGCTGCCTAATGTTTAAGGCTTTGTGGTGGCAGTGTTCTTGATGCTGAATTGCTGCTGCTGGCCGCGTCTCATTCTGCTAGGGCTGCCTGTCGGATTACCTCAAGGGCAGCACGCTGTCATGGGCCGAACTGTGCCACGTTGCCGAGACGATGTCGCGCGGACTCGCCTATCTGCACAGTGACGTCCACGGCAAGAACGAAGGCAGCAAGCCGGCCATCGCTCATCGGTACGTTAACAGCCTGGCTGCTGTTTGACCGTCATTAATAAAACTATCAACTACAGGGTGTTTGAAAAAGATGGACCCAAATTGAAATCGCTATATCTCTGCAACCACGAACCGCCCATGAATGAAACTCTTACCGCTTGAAAGAGCGGGGCATAGAGAGGAGGGCGGGGCATAAAGAGGAGGGCGGGGCTTAGAGTGGGCGGGGCTTAGAGTTTCAAGTGATTACCGCTAGATGCCTCTCCCAGCGCACAAACAGCCCCTAGCCTCAGTCATTCGCAAGATGGTGACCCCGCAACACACAAGGCGTTTTGCATTCTGCAGTTCAGCAAGACTGAATTTGTAATTGCGGTGCAGCGTGCGTTTCAACGGCGTTTTGGCATTGATCAGCCAATGCCAAAGAGCATTTGTCGTTGGTGCCGATAATTTGAGGAAACAGGCTGTTTATGAAAGGGAAAGAGCACAGGGCGACCACGCAGCTCAGAGGAAAACGTGAGAAGAGAGGCGTCAGGGACGAATTCAACTTTCGTCTCGATGTTGTCCGTACAGCAGGTGGAGGGCACATAGAGTCTTTATAAAATGCTTAGTAATACTTGATAACTCATTAAACCGTTTGTACCTTTTCGTTTAATTGTAACATGTTGCCATCGTGAAATATACTGCTTTGAAATTGGGTCCATCTTTTTGAAACACTCTGTATATTTATTTTACCAGGTAAGTCCCCCCACTGAGCTATATAGCACTCTATCAGAAGCGATCTGGCTATCACAAATGACATATCAACGAAGTGGCTTATAAAAGGGAAATAATAAAAGATTATAAATATAAAACAATAAAAATTATCACGACGTTTCGACTGCAACACAAGCAATCATCATCAGGTGTGAAATCCACACCTGATGATGTGGCTTTCACACCTGATGATGATTGCTTGTGATGATTGCTTGTGTTGCAGTCGAAATGTGAGAATTTTTATTGTTTTTTATTTTATATTGATATTATTTTATTATTTCCCTTCTACGTGACTTTACCAAAAGAACCAAGAATATGAATCCCTGCAGTCACGAAAGCTTTAAATCGAAGTGGCTTATCACGTGGAATTGTATAGCAGCCAAATACTCTGAATACACGTTTCTAAATGTGGAGAGAAAAACCAGGGGACCTGGAGAAAAATCCACGCGACCATGGCAGTCAGCATGGGGATCGAACCCACGACATCCTGTATGTCAGGCAAAGTAGTTAACATCTCGCCACCATCGCGCGCCCCCTTTTATCACTGGCACGTTGGAGCCGAGACGCCGCGGAGGGCCGTCCATGGTACGTGTGGTTCTCCACTGGCTGTTTGCTCGGGCTAAGCTGGATGAAAAAAGTCTCAGGACTGATTTTTTTTTATGCGAAACCGCAGAATCACCAGGCTGGATGCATACATAACCATTTTTTTTAAGTCAGTGATTTCCTGCCCAAATTAGAATATTAGGTGATACTCAGCTTCTTTTTACAAGCCTGAGCCACTGGTGGAAATTCCACATTCCTATGGCTGAGTGAAGTTTATTCATAAGACAGCCAACGTCGACTAACCCATGAAGTGGTTCTCATTTTTAAATCCTTTATATTAAGTTCGCTTGCGTGTTTGCGTGCTTGCTTGCGCGCTTACGACCGTGCAAATCTTTCGGTCGTTTTTTAACCCACTTCCCGTGATCCAATCGAGCTGACATTTTGCACACAGACTCGTTGTGTGTGACAATTTCATTTTCGTGAAAAAAATGTGCAAAATTTTACACTTTTTAGGGAAATTTTTAAAAATATTTAATTACCAATTGCTTAATGGTGGCAGACACTCATCTGACCCATAGGTGGCAGCCATCTCAAGCCAGAGGACGAGAGGACTCTAGCCGCCACGCATATAAAGGATTTATAGTGAAAAACTCTGTTTTTACGGGTTAATTTTTCATGACCCCATATTGGTGATGAGCCGAGTCAAAAACTCCAACCAGCATTTGGACCTGGAGCCTCCTGATTGCTATAGCGCTGAGCCGCCTGGCCACACATATATACACAGCGCAACATATCGCATACAAATGCACGCACAAACATTATCAATCACTCGTATACCCCATATTAATTCTATTAATAACGTTGCCTAACCTTGTATTTCATACTGCTGTGTAATTAGAATTTGTAAGTGATGCCTTTCTAATAATTTGAATGCTCACACACACGTACTCGCAGACAGTGCCCCACATCACCCACCTGCTCACCCCCATCGTTCCTGGCGGTCTTTTTCTTTTGTGCAGTGACTTCAAAAGCAAGAACGTGCTGCTGAAGAACAACCTGTCGGCTGTGATTGCCGACTTTGGGCTGGCGCTCAAGTTTGAGCCGGGATGCTCGCCTGGGGACACCCACGGACAGGTTCGTACTCTGGCCATCCACACTACGCGAACTCTACAAACGAAACTCGACTATGTTTTAGTTTAAATTTTTATTTAAAGCTTTCGTGACTGCAGGGATTCATATTCTTGGTTCTTTCGGTAAAGTCACGTAGAAGGGAAATAATAAAATAATATTTTTTATTCTTTTTTTATTTTATTATTTCCCTTCTACGTGACTTTACCGAAAGAACCAAGAATATATATTTTTAGTTTACCAGGTAAACTCCACTGACCTATTTAGCTCTTTTTCAGAAGCGACCTGGCCATCACAAATAATAGCTCAACGAAGTGGCTCATCATCATGTGGAAATGTGTAGCGGCCAAATACTTTAATTGCATGTTTCTAAATGTGGAGGGAAAAAGTGGAGGACCCGGAAAAAAATACACGCGACCACAGGGAGAACATGCAAACTCCAAATATACAGGCATTGTCAGGGTCGGGATCGAACCCATGACCTTCTGTATACCAGGCGAGGGAGTTAATATCTCGCCACCGTGGCGTCGTGATGAACTGTTCAACACGAAACGTCCTCTCCACACCGTTGGGATCCCAATCAACGTGCCAAGACGAAGCCACGGGGGCGGTGACGCGGCCCAGCGGTTCGCTCGTGCGCCGCTAGTTGCAGAGGTTCGCCGGTTCGATTCCAGCAGGCCACCCTGGCTATTGCTTAGGATGTAAAATACTAGGCAACTTCTGCTGCACAGTGGATGCTTAAGATCACCCTGATGCCATTATAAATGGCATCGTGCTGAAAAATTTGCCAATTTTTTAAATGACACGCAATTTACTCAATTGGGATTACACGTAACGATCATTGCCCCCCCCTACTCGCAGACTAATGCCCGCTTGCAGACCAGGTGCTGAGTCAACCTGTACCACACAGGGACCGAGGTGGGTTGGGGGGGGGGCTTTCAAATGGGGGCAACGTGTGATGTCACTTCTCGTGTGTAAAGCGCCCGTGAGACGCCCCAGCAGAGCATAAAGGGTGCTCTTTCAAAACTGTTTATTATTCTGGTGACATACACCTCTAATGCAGTACTTGGAGGGGCCTGGGTTGGTGTTTCACATAGATTTTAGAAATTCCCCAATCCTCTGGGGTATTGAGATGTAGACCGTATACGGAAGTGCAGCAATTGAGTTGATTAACCTCAGCCCTGGACGGCTCAGGCGAAAGCAAGCGTTCATCTCGAGTCTTATCACGTGGGGCTGAACAGAAACGCAGTATGAGACGTCGTCAGTCCTCACCTACAGCGTGTCGCGAGCGTGGCGCGTCGCCACTGCCTCACGATGACGTGTCCCCCTCCTTGTTGTCGAATCGGGCAGGTGGGCACGCAGCGCTACATGGCCCCGGAGGTGCTGGAGGGTGCCATCTGCTTTCAGCGCGACGCCTTCCTGCGCATCGACGTCTACGCGTTGGGGCTCGTGCTGTGGGAGCTCGTGTCACGGTGCACAGCCGCTGATGGTGCGTAGTGTGGTGTTGCCCGTTGCACGCTCGTCATACGAGAACCCCCTTTTGCAATAAACTTCATGCCCAAACGCTCGTCACGTGTGTGCCTCGAGCAGTGAACAACAGTGAACGGTGCGATCCCCATTTGTATGTGTGCGTGCGTTCATTCGTGTGTTTAATTTAGAACCAAGTGAAATCTCATTGAGAGCAATTGTCTGTCTTTCAATGGAGAATCAGAATCGATATTTAGACTGGAAGAATCCGATGAGCTACGAAGCTACTTTTTCACGGATTTCCAGTTGTGTCAGGTTAGAAAGTTACAACAACAAACAATTCAAACATAGGAGTCCAAATATAGGAAAGCTGAGCAAGTCATGATATAAAATTAACAAAAAGTCTACATGCAAATTGCATATTTTTCAACACCAAATGCAATCTTGGGCAAGGCAGCAAAACAAAAAGTAGTCCCAGACCAAGATGCATATTTTTCAACACCAAATGCAATCTTGGGCAAGGCAGCAAAACAAAACGTAGTCCCAGACCACATTAAGACAACACAGTCTCTCAATAATATTCCACATTAAAAGTGAACTATCGTTACAAAGCAATGCAGTGAACGTGTTATTAAAGGGAAATAGAAACCGTGTACATCAAGGGTTAGAGGACCTCCAACCACAGGTCAGATACTGTCTGTTATTTCATTTTTGTACGGCCCGTCGCCACAGTGTATGCCTGTCGCTTTGAAACGGTGCGCAAGTGGTATTTATCAATCACTGCAAGCATCTTGGCTAGAGTGGAATAGTTTATGCCTGGCAGTACCGTGTTACTAATTTTAGCACACTCAGTCACTTTCTGTCACTTCTAGGGCCCTGTTTAGTTTTGGTCGACTTCCAACATTCCCCCTCCCCCCCTGCTTTATTACTGAATTCCACAAAGGTGTGTGTTTGTTAATATGGAACCCCCAAGGGTATTTGAACATAGTATTCATTCAGTTTTTGGTATGGAAAAGGTTCCACACCCCCCACCCCAGTCCACACCAATGCATTAAAAACAAAATCTCAATTTTGCGAACTCGTACTCGACAAGACGTCAGTTCATTGAAATCTCCATTCACGAGCCCAATTAAAGTGACCTCGGCTTTATGAACTCTTTAACAGCGAAACCTCAATTTTTACGAACCTGTTAACAGTGACCTCCGTTTTACGAACCCGTTAAGTGAGACGTCGACTTACGGCAACCATTATTAGTGAAATCTTTATTTTACGATCCCATTATCAGTGAAAGCTCCGTTTAAGAACTCATTAACGGTAAAACCTCAAATGTATGAACTCTTTAGCAGTAAAACTTCATTTTATGAACCATGAAACCTCAATATTATGGACACGTACATATTTAAATGAATGCAGAGCCACGCCTCTGTTGGTGCTTCGATGCAAGACCTTTCTGGTTAGGTTTGTCTTTAATCTTGCATTCTTTTACATGCCCATTCACTATTTTGGAATGACTTAAAAAAAAATTCTTGGAGAGTGCCTCAAGATCATTGAGGCAAATGGGCTCTGTTCTACTGATGATCCTTAATGAACATTCGAGCGGATCATTGCAGAGCAGAACTTTGTATAAAATATCGCTTTTCTCTATTGGAATTTGCCCCCAATAGTTTAGAGGGAGTGCCGTTACCAATAACAGCTGATAAGCCAACGACAGCATTTGTTTAACAAGCATGACTGCTGGTGAAACCCATGATGGTTGAAATAAGTCCAGAATTAGCTTATTTGTTGCTGAAGATGTAGGATGTGTCATCAGTTTTTTTCTTATCCTTATTTCTTAAAAAGAATAGGTTTACTTGGTAATAACTATGTGGTCACATGGGCAATGAGTCGCTGACCCTCGATGCAGCTAGCCATCGAACAAAGATGGTCACTGCATCGCACGCTCTGGAATGTGCTGCAGCCGTCTGGAACGGTCTTCCGATATTAGGAAGCCACTGGAGCTATGCACTTTTAAATCTCGATTGAAAACTAATTTCTGTAAAATGGCTTTTTGTATTTAGGTTATTGTGCTTAGCTCGCACCTCCAATTGGCACGGTTGGCTACATACGGTGCGAAATAATTTCAACATACGTACATGCAAACGAGCACACTGATAAAAAAAAAGTTTAATCTTCGCACGCACCATGAATCCGCAACTCGGATTATCCTCTCGTGGCTAATCAATGCTTATCTGGATGATGACGACAATGACTGCACACGTTTTATTTTGTATTTCTCCTCGGCAGGTCCCATAGACGAGTACCGTGTGCCGTTTGACGAGGAGATCGGTGATCACCCCACGCTGGAGGACATGCAGGACATCGTGGTGCAGAAGAAAATGCGGCCGGCGTTTCGAGAGGCGTGGCTCAAGCACCCGGTAACGCACACAGGACACAGCCTCAAATTGTCTTTTAGCGTCTTGTTGGTAACGTTTCTTGTGTTCTCTCTTTTTTGTTGATTGGGATTTATTTGTAGCGGTGATTGTTGCCCCTGATTGGCAGAATAATGCCAATTTGCAAGCCAGGTGCTGAGTGCCAATTGTGACACACAGGGACAGCTGCCACTGGGGGGGGTGCCCTTTCAGATTTTTGCGATAAAATGTGCAGCTCCGATTAGTATGGTCAGCTAGGTATGGTGCGATAGAAGTTATCCATACGTGAAGCGCTAAGAAACACCCTTGCCGGTAGTGCGCTATATCAACAATATATCATTGTCATGAATATTTGTACAGTGTTCTTTCCTCTGTGAGTCTAAATATAACCTTTCCATGAATTGTACATCACCTGTTTTCACATGCATGATTCAATACATGTTTCACGAGTGTAAACATTTAGCTATTACAATCAATTAATCGGTGTATTGGCATGTGCCTTTTGTCTAGGGGGAAAGCCAAGTTTGAATGCAGATACTCAAGAGTTTTGGCTATGACCTAATTATCCAGAATGCACCTGATTTGCATCGGATCTCAAAAGTTAAGCATTGTTGAACCTTGGTTGGCATGGGTGACCAACATGCACTGCAGCTTGGTATAGGATTCAGGATTACACGGGGGGGGGGCGGCAGCAGAGGGCAGTGCAGCACCATCTGGATACGTACTGCAACGTCTATGTTGTCCGCCTTAACCAAGCTACGTTTGGCTCTCACAACTTTCACAGTGTGGGAAGGCCGTCATCAAGCAGTGAATTTAGCAAAGGGACTGTCCATGTACAATTTCGTAGTATTCCTGTAGGGGATGAGTTGTCCTCCATGAGCCTGACGACCAACGAGAAGTGCAGACGGGTGGGATTTTGTTCAGACGGATCTTGGCGGCGGTATATCTACCGTAGCAGCAGTAGCATCTGCGGGATTTGGCAGAGGGTAGACATTTTTGGCGAGGTGCGGTGGCATCAGCGGCTTTATCCATGGTGAAATTTTGAGCTCTTGATTTTCATCTTGCGCGGTGCTGGTGGGGGTGGGGAACGATGATGCCCGCAGGGACTGGCTCAGCTGTGCGTGACCATGGAGGAGTGCTGGGACCACGACGCGGAGGCTCGCCTTTCGGCCGGCTGCGTGGAGGAGCGCCTGGTGCAGTTGCGGCGCCACCCGGGGCCTCCAGGCCTGCCCGGCGGCGGTGGCACCACCACTGCTACCACCGCCTCCTCTCCTCCCACCGCCGACACCACCACCACTACTGCTGCGCCCCTTCACTCCGACTCCCTCATCATCTCCATGTCTCCGACCTTACTCAACCTTCATTCGTCGTCACCCAGCAAGGAGTCGAGCCTCTAGACCAGGGGTGGGGAACCTCGATGGACCCGCGGGGCCGGATGTGGCCTGCGACTTCATTTCATACGGCCTGTGACCTTCAGTCACTGCAAGGGCCCCCTTGAATATTGACAGAAGTGATGAAGCTGTTTGTGTTAACGTGTGGCCCCACCTAAGGTAATTCAAAGTGCTATTTGGCCCCTGGTAAGGACAGGTTTCCCCACTCCTTCTGTAGGCGATCGTCAAACTGTTGGTATAACTTTTCATTATTTAACCAGGTTTAGAGGTACGCATTGTTCGTTATATGCTTCACAAGGAAACTTAAGGGCGTCACGTACGAACAGTTTAAACATTTTACCCAATTTAGTTTTCAATATTTGATGCACGTTTTGGATTTGGTAGGCTTTGACCCTTGGACAGATGTCAGAACGATATTGCTGGGTCATTGCCGTCTGCTTTCCAGCAGGGGTTGAGATGAAATTGAATCGGTGCAAGTACCGTGACTACTAAGCATTGGGGAATTGTAACAATTTTAATTTCCCGCAAGCTGGCTCAGTGCGTGGACCCTGTACAAATACAATACAATTTGGATATTTATCGCATATAAATGCAACCACACATCAAGGTTCTGTAAACAGCAAGGTGTGTGCACCACCAAAGCTGTTTATCTGCCCGTCCAATCTGGTTTTATTTCATCGATGTCACCGGGAGACTTGCTTAGTTTAGCCAGCGATTATTTTTTTTACACTACCTGCTTATCCTAACCAAGGTAGAGATGCTATCTGTTCATGGCGTTGTGAGGTTATAAAAAAAAATCACTCAAATAGTTCACGTAAGTTGGACAAAAATAATAGTGCTTTAATTTTTTTGAAACCAAAGTGGCTTGAGCTGATTTTTATACTTCGCATATTTTAAATATGAAATGTATTATCCCCCTTTCCCTCCACGTTCCCTCCAATTGGCTCTTCTGGCATTGTAGTAAGAAAATGGGCATTTTATTTAAGAAATAGTAATTCATTGCAGTTGATTGTAGTTAATAAACTTAACACTGGCGCTAACTCATAATCCTAATTTGGCTACGTAAATGGTTACCAAACACTGTCCTCACCCAGATTACATTTTTTTTTTTACATTTACCGTGAATGTTTAAAAGTAAATGTTTACTAAGCACGCTTACCTGACGGTCAGGGTTAAGGCCAGGGTTAGCATTTAGATATTGGCTGGGGATAAATTCTCATTTAGGGTGTAAGGCCTTGTGCTAGCGATAGTGTTAAGGCTAGGGTTAGTCATATTGGCTTTAACCATCTACATACTTTATGATAAACTAAATTAGAATATGTAATATATTTGTTAAACATTTTTATTTTCACGATAAAATGTCCCAGTCTCCCCTGCTGTACATGAAACCAGGTCTGACCAGGACCCTAGTTAGAATGTAATTCCCCTCTTCCACTGGTACATCCGAGCCGATCCACGGCACCTTTACAGCACAGGTGGTTTTTCCACCGGCCAATTACCGTGCTAAGCTGGAACCAAATCGCGATGGTACGCTGGCCTTGCGAGACGTCGAAATCTGGTTGCTTTTTCATTGCACGTGGCATCAAACCGTCAGCTCTTAAAGGACACAGAGTCGCGGCGTCATCTACATGCGGCTCTCCACCCATTCGTTTCTTGTTACGTCAGCGGCACGACTTGGCTCCGGTGGTGAAGAAACCAACAGCTGAGCTGTGCCGGGCAGGCTCGGCACGGTCACAGCGGAGCTAGGTTGTGCAGTGGAAACGGGTGTGAATGTGGTGTCACACGTTGAGTTCGCTCTGGAGGCGTGTCTCATCAGTCTGCCATGCGTTTTTAGCATTTCGAGGGACATCCCAGGCAATGGGTTTGGTATTTAGGCATTGTCAAATAATTGTTCACATTGCCTGCTTTAGAAAACGATAAGAAAGATGTCATTTAAAATAATTTCATGCCTTGTTTTTGCTCGGTTATATCGAATTGCGATTTTTAAAAAAATAATTGATCATGTGTGTACTGTACATGCCCAGGTCATGGGTCATGTTCCTGTGGCTTGATTTGGTAAGATAGATATGAGAAGGGTAAAGCGATAGACTCATAGCAAGACTTAAAAAAGACGCCTTCAAGGTTGTAATCCCATTATCTTACAGATAAGTCAAAATTAATTGCTGCTTAAATGAGGCGGTACTCATTTCCTATTTACTGCCCTGACCCAGTGGTGAAAATTTCACGTTCCTATGGCAAGGGTGAGTCTCCCCACAGGCTAACCACTACCACTGTTGACCTCGCCCACAATGTGGTACTCATGTGATTGATCCATGATGCTGGGGTTGGTGAAATAGATACCACTTTGAAAAGAGCCAACTGTTGTAGCAAAAGACTGGGTCCTTCCAAAACAATGTGGAATTTACACCTCTGATTCAGAACCAACAAGACGTCTCGGTTCTCTACTCGATAATTGTGAACTTTGGCAAGTGAAATGGGAATATATGTGAAGAATATGAAGCTTGCTTGTTGCCATCAAAGATGATGATACTTTCCTCAAACATTGCTTTCCCAGAGCAATGCTTATTTTTTTGTTTATTGAGCATAAATCAAAAATATGCCAGTTACAAAAATGGACGGTGCGTTAGCTTGTTGCTTTGTACGGTGGGGAAGCTGCGTGAACGCACGTCGCGTGCAATCCACGTGATCTTTTCAATGGTGCTTTGAACACACATTCTCAGTGCGTGTGCTTGGTGCAAGGCCCGTTTCGTTTGTCCTGAGGGGCCTTTTTTGTAGCCTTTGCGATAACTACGGCAAGTGATGGTTCTGCAAAAGACACGATTTGAATGGGTTTAAAAGATGTGTTATTTTAACGCGTTTTTTTTTCCTCCCTCCCCCCACCCCCATTCGTCTTTGGTACTTCAAGCCTGTTTACGTTGCGGGAGATTTGTGACTGGTTTGATTTTGCTGGAGCAACGACTTCCCTCGTCGATGCTCATAGTTGCTTTTATTCATCAATAGAGGGGCAAAACACCCGGTGAACGCGGACGGTAGAGGCCACCGGATATTAGGACACAAGCCGGCTGCAGGCTGCACTTGGAGGTGTGCGTACGGTTGCCACTTGTCCCTGGTTTCCCCAGGATCATACTCTCTGGTTGAGGAGGTAGCTGTCCTGAGATCTTCTTAAGTCTTGCCAGGATGTTAAAGTGTCCCATTTTTATTGCGTAATGGTGATATTCCACAAATTAAAATGCATTTACGTGTAGTACTCACCCCCCCCCCCCCCCCCCGTTCTGGTATTATGAGATCATTTCCATCATATGTCCTGGATGGTTTTTAGTACCTTGGAGGTGGCAACCCTATTGCATGCAATGTAAAACTATCATGGCACAGAATACAGTGGGGAAGTAACATGCACATCTCCCTGCAGATAGAGCAAGGAAACGTATTGAGGATTTGGAGGTATTCATATCCATTCCATACGGTCAAATTAAGTTTATAATTCGCCAAATAAAATGGGTAATTACGCCAATTGCATATGCATCGAATTCTGCATGTTGGAATCATTCCACTGCAGATTCTACAGTGGCAACTGAAAAAAAAATAAACCGAGTTGAATCATGGCCTTATAATTAGCAAATTCGAAGCGGCATGTTCTGTTTAGGAATCGATGCACCGTCAGTTGACCACGAGCAACCAATGGAGGCTGCTGTGCTCTTCCCCCCTCAATCTATACAAACCTCTTAATTCAATAAGTCGGGTTTTAGCGATGCTGGGGACGCGGCTCAATCATTTGAATGAAACGTGTTCATGCGCAGCGGTGACGAACTATGCGTGGTGCAAATGCGGCTCGCAACGTCTTGATGTCCTTAAGCTTTTTTGTGTTCACGGAATCCTCTTCAGCAGAGGTTGGGGGGGGGGGTGTGCGGTTTCCCAAAACGTTCCAAGTCCGCGGACCGCTGTCAGCCGTCGACGTTTCGCATGCCGCCGTTGTCGTGTAAAACGTGTGGCGATTTTGTGAAATTTATCGCACGGGACGTTTGGTTCTGTGGGTCACTTCCCCATCCACGGCACGGCCATGCTTGCTCTCGAAAGCAACGGTTTTGTTTTTGTAATCTGTAAACTACCTCAAGTTTCATTTTTTTAAAATATAAAATGCAAGTTTAATTTTTGCCACATCGAAGAGACCCTTACAATGAGAGAGAGAGAGAGAGAAAAACGTTCCAGATTTTATATACTGTATAGTGATGTAAGTTTTTTTTTTTACCTGCTGATGGTTTTACAGTCGAATGGTGGTTATTCTAGTTGTAGATCTGGGAAGACTCATTGTACGAAGTGAGCGGAAAATACCTCAGTCTGACTTGGATGCACACTGTTCAATTATGTTTGTTCCTCGGTATTCTCCATCAAATGTGAATTATCCGTCTTTACAACATCCTACTCGCAAGCCCCTTCTTGTGCTCCAGGTTTACAGAGCAAACGAGGCTATGTTGAAACGCAAAATCGCCAAGTCTGGGAATCGATTATTATTATCGTTTAAGGGAGGCTTCCTTTTAAAACCTCTCTCGTGCAAGAATTATTAGAATGTAAACCAAACGATTTCTTTATTGGTTTAAGGTCATTTTAATTGAAAATAAATCCCCCCCCCCAATGTGCTGATAATTGTTTTTGTATAATTTCATAGCGGTCATATATATTGTAGCAGTCCACCGCAGTGGATATGATGCATGAGAGAGGGTTAACGTATACCCTTTATATGTGCCCGGCACATAGCATGTGCGCCAATGAGCATGGTAGAATGCACATGCTGCCTTCCAAAGGGTTTCTTGCTCAAGTTTTATACATCCTAGCCAACCGTGCTGATCAATCGCAAGCGTTCTTTCAAATCTGTGATTGCGGGACGTTAAGCGCGATGTAAGAAAAGAAAAAAGCTTTTTTCCTGGTGTCCAAATCGTATTCATTTTAATGCCGCGTGGTATATTGTGCAGACCTTAGCTCTCAGGGGGTTTTACGTGTTCAGTGCTTTACATCGTGGACGAGTCAAAGTCTTGCCATTATGAGCAGCGACACTGGGCTGCACATTCCTATGTTCACTGCTCAGTTTTGTTGTGCCGCTGAAGATGGATCAGCGATTTGAATTCTACGCTGCACGGCAGCTCATGTCACCTCTTTTGCCAATCATCATGAACATTGCTGACATGCAAACCCCACTTGTTAATGCGGCCTAATTTTTAAAGTAGTTTTTAGCACTTGATGTCATTGATTCTGTATTTAATTTGGGGGGGGGGGGGGAAACCACAACAATGGATAAATTCGGAAGTTTTTTTGTAATTGTCCTATATGTAATTGGGGTAAAATGGAGGTGCATTGGTTATGCACTGCACAATGAACCCAGCGACATGAGTTTGATTCCAAGCCACGGCTACCATCAGTGGCGAGGTATACCTGAATCGGTCTTGGGCCTCCCTTGAGCCCGCAATGTATGGTCAAACATCCGCCATGACCAACGTGGCATGGGGGAGGCCTTCATCCAGCAGTGGATTGACAAAAGAAAGGCCTGTGCATTTTATTTTGTTAACATTTGTGACAGTGCATATTTATTCTGGTTGGCTGAGAGAGTCTGAGAAGCTTGCTAATTTGGAGTATATTGTGGTCAATGCACAGCTCCTGAAGTGAATCATATCCTTAGTGTTCTGTATTATAAAATCGGACTTAAAGAAATGTACCTTTGACATCAAGGGCACATAACACCTGGTGGGTTATGCATGCAATGATGGGTTTCCACAGCTGTCGGTTGAATTGCCACGATTTTGGCTCGTAATTTGATGCGACAATACTATTTGGTCTCATTTGTAGAGTTGTCCCATTGGTCCACAGTGTACATTAACATATTCTTGGAAATCCTTGCAAATGAGTATTTCCATCTCGATGGACTTTCCCAGGTGAAATATAAAAAAAAAATTGAAATAAATATTATTTGCTATAAATTGATTATGATAATTCGTCACGCGCAATTTTATGCAATTATCGTGAGTAAAAGAAACACTTTTAATAGATGGATTGATACTACATAGCCTACGGCTTCATTTCACAAGACTTTCAGATCATCAGCACATTTGGTATTTTCGCACCATTCTTAGGAGCGGAAGGCTGTGGCAAAAGCGCCCTGCGTCACAAGATGATTAAGAGTCTGCAGGAGTTTCACAAGTAGAGGCGAGGCGCACTTGCCATGTAGGCCTTACCCAATGAGAGAGTGTTAATTTGTGGAGTCCTTTTAAAACGTGCCAAATTTGGCAATTTTAATAGCAGTGAGCTTTTTTTCCCCCTGAATGGAAGCCTCCCTTTAATGTGACACGTGACAAACTGCGGTTTAAATTACGGATATGGAGTGCCTACAATCTCTCACGGATGCGGGCCCGTTTTTCTATACTTTTAATAATGTATTACTGTCACGGTGAGATTCCAGGTATTATGTTAAGCCTACATGCAGTATTTTGGTTTGTTAAAAGATTTGTTAAGTTCTGTTTGTGCTTGGACACAAATAACTACTTTAAACATCGTGTCGTCAGGTGGCCAATTTTATAAGTCTCATTTTTTTTTGTCTCAGTCTGCAGGACAACTGTTTTAATGAAAAAAGCTCAACCCAGTGTCTGGTCTTAAAACCTTGTAAATTAACGAGTTTTGTTACGAACGTATTATTATCGTTATCGGTTTAGTTGATGTCGTTTTTTTGTAGAGTAAGCGGTAGGGCTTTTGTTACATTTTAGTATTTAACATTTTTCTAACGGGAAGGAAATGAGTGTGGCGTTTCACACAGCGCACGTTTTATGTTTGTGTGGGGGGTCTCACGCAACCCAAGATGTTTCTGTCGGTTTGAAGGGCTTTTTTTACATTAAAAAGTTCCGTCCTCATGTTTATACAGTGTTCTATGGGGCTGGGCCTTCTTTGTGAATGTTCAAATGACCTTTTTTGTTGCCAGTGTTTCATTTAAAAAGAAATCTGTATCCTAATAACCTCAAGTCTTCATGTTTTCTTGTGTGCGACTTTTATGTCTGTCCAGAAGCCTAAAACAGCCAACATTGTTCCGAATGCATAAACTGTGAAACTGTACAGTCAAGTCTAAATAAATTCCTCCGGTTTTTACGTCTCGCTGTTGGGATAAGTACTTATCGTGCCCTGTGTCAACTTGCATAGCAGCTTAGATGTAATGATGCAAACTGCGACGAGTCGTGCTCCATTTGACATTCAGAAAACACCGCACAGAGCCGTCTGAATTCCACGTGACAACGTCGCATATCCGACCACCACGTGTCCGCCCAAATCAATGAACCGCCCACACCCAGTGTCGTACCTGTGCATGGTGTCCCATCGGATATCCGCCTATACCCCCCCCCTCCCATCGTGTCGGATATGTGACGTTGCACTGCATTCGACACTTCCCACGTCAGTCGGTGCGTGCAGTGCACACGTGCAGCCCTTTAGCCAACCCGCCGCTGGTCGAGGGCCTCCCCACGCCATGCCCATCACAGGGGGGCATCATAGTACTGTACAACAATGAACTTTGCTGCACAGTACTGATTCCGGTTTTGGGATCTGACTTGAGTGGCGAGGGACTCAATGCAGCATATCCCCCTCCAGCCTTGGGACTCCTGTACCCGTCCAGCACTTACAGCACTGCAACACACGTGCGTGAATGAACACATTCCTGCGGAGGGAGCTGGTAGGAACGTTGGGTTGCTCGGTCAATGGCCAGGGTCAACGGCGGCGTGGTGTATTCCGCAAATATTGCCCGACTGTGAGGGCGGGCACTAGCCGGCGTGAGTCGGTTAAACGTTGAGTTTTATAAGGGCACCACGGGGTGACCAACTCCTCCCCACCCAGCCCCACCCTCCCCACCCAGCTCCTCCCCACCCTCCCTTTCCACCCAGCCCCTCCTCACGCAGCCCCTCCCTCCCCACCCAAGCCCCTCCCTGCACGACGGACGGACGGACACAATAATCCCCTGTGGGCTGGTGGAACCAGTGGGTTCCTACCAGTAACATTTCTCGCTGTAGGAACCCCAACCGACCGTTCGAATCCAGTGCCCCCCTCGTTTCGAGTGCAAGACATGAACCATTGCGGTGGCGTGCACTCATTCCAGTGCAGTCCGATGGCAGAGACCCACGTTTCCTCGTACAGCAACACCTGCTCCGGTGCAGACAGCTCCGTGTTGTCGTGCCGTTTGGTGGCGAGATGTCAACTACCTCGCCTGGTGTGCAAGGAGGATCGTGGGTTCAATCCCGACCCTGACGCCTGCTGTGTATTTGTAGTTTGCGTGTCTCTCCCCGTGGTCGCGTGGATTGTTCCCCGGGTCCTCCGGGTTTTTACATCCATGGAGAATCAACATCACGCGTTTAGAGGATGTTGCTTCTCTAAATGTCCACGTGATGAGCCGTTTAGTTGAGCTGTCATTTGCGGCCAGGCCGCGTCCTGACAGAGCGATGGGGTAGAGCTCAGTGGGCTCTCCCACGGTTCGCTACGTACGGTGCGAAGGAAGTTCAACAACCCCTTCCCAGTGCCCTGCCTTATTACAGACCAATTCAGACATTATTGGTCACCTACCGTGCCGCTATAAATCTCAACGTTTATCCTACAAAGTCCCATCACAAGGGAGAAACACAAATAGACGAAAAATAATTCCCGTATTGAAACGGCTGTGGGGCCGTCCATAAATGACGTCACGCAGCTAGGGGAGTGGGGTCAGACATTTGTGACGATGTGTGACGAGGGGGGGGGGGGGTGAGAAATGTGACGTCACATCAAAATGCATAACTTTAAATAAATATAGACAACACGTTCTTATTTAAATAGACTTTTTAATAAATGTTTTCTCCTACAACATCAGAGTGCAGCGCCACATTAAATACGCACTACAATGACAATATTTTAAAGCGATTTGAAGCATGTTTTATTTTGGGGCAGGGGGGGCAGAGCTTTGTGACGTCATATTTGAGGGGGGGGGTCTGACTTTTTGTGACGCCGTGTGACGATGTGGGGGGGGGGGTCAAAAATCGTCCAAAATCGCGTGACGTCATTTATGAACGGCCCCTGTACGCCATATGAACCTGTAAACTCAATTTCCCTGTACAAGAATACGGGTTAAACCGCATGGGTTGACAGCTATGCCATCCAAGTACACGACCATTACCCGGTTCAATAGAAAAAAACGTTAGAATCTTCTTAATTCTGGTTGTACTGCCACCCATCCCGGTGCAGTCCACTCCCCCAGTTCCAGTGCAAGTTTCACCCGTCCCGGTGCAAGTCACCCACCAAATCTTCTTGGTTTTTTCGGTAAAGTCACGTAGAATGTAAATAATAAAATCATAAAATAAAAATAATATAATATATAATATTAATGTATTATTTCCATTCTACGTGACTTTACCGAAAGAACCAAGAAGATGAATCCCTGCAGTCACGAAAGCTTTAAATCGAAATTCACCCACCAAACCCCATTCGAGTGCAGAGACTTGCGGCATTGCAGAAATCACTCCTCTCGCCGCCCTCCCCCGCCCGTTCGTTCCGGTGCAATTCGCTTGCAGTGCCGTGGCCAATTCCAGTTCCAGTGAAGTGGGCGAGCCACGTGCTTCGTGCGTGGTGGGGTGTGGGGTTATAATAAACTCCGGGCAGCAGTAGCAGCCGCTTGAAGCCATTCAGCCCCTAGCAGCAGCCGCAGCAGCAGCCACGGGCAGTTTCGCATTTCTCGTCTCCTTTGGACTCTCCAAGTCCGTCGCTCGGCGCTCTTCGTGCGAACTTTAAAGCGCTTCGTGATGCCGGCCGCGTCGCTCTCGTCGATGTATTTTCTTTGTTGTAAATATTTTGTTGTTGGTGTTGTTGTAAAGAGAACGTTTTAACCTTTAGCACGACTGTAGTTAACCTCTCTGTGTTAGGTGTCGTTTTATAAAAAAAAAACTTTTATTGAAACCGGACACAGTATGAGCAGCGAAGGGCCGATGCTTAACAGCGTAACAGCTCTTAGTGTGTCCACTGTTACGTTATCGGTTATGTGGTTACGTATATTATTATTAGTGTAGTAGTTTAAACGTTCTAAGTATATACTGTGCGTGTGTATATAACGTCGAGCAAAGTTCTAGCAACATGTGCTTAGCAGCGATGGCCCGTAGCTGATGGTGTACTGCTCCGAGTATGGTTATACACGGCTAAGTTATCTGTTCTATAGTTAAGTATATTAGTGCAGTGGCAGCATAAACCTTGAGGTTGCACACCTTTTTTTAGAAGATCGGGAATGTTTCTCGCTTCGTTTGGTAACCGTGTGTCGCCTTTCATCGGCACGCCGCTTGCGTACGCAGTCGGAATCTGCATCTTATTGTTGTTGGACGATCTCTTCGTGTCGCTCGCAATGCGTTGCGAGTTACAGAATCTGATCATCGGATAGGCAACGGTAGCAATTCGTAGCTTGTCTTTTAGCTGGCGTAAAAACAATTTTTAAGTCCATTTAAAGCCATCACTATCAGCAGCAGCAGGTACGTAGTCTGTTCACACACGTGCATATTATCCTCTACATTATATCTCTATACTATTAACGCATACATTCTTACACGTTATACACACACACACGCGGTATGTACTTACACGCTCCGACTTTGTGTCTAGTTCATATTGCCCTTTCCCCCGCAGCTCCGATTAACACGGTCGGTCGGCTACGTACGGCGCGAAAGAAGTTCAACACACACGGTAGCATTGGGAGGCGACCACCACCACCAGCAGCACCAGCACCACCACCACCAGCAGCAGCACCACGCGTCAAGCCGAACCACTCGAATCGAAGCGGCTCACGCAAAGCTCTCATCTGGGGTGGCTCTCATCTGGGGTGTCACGCCAAGAGGCGGCTGGCGCTGGGGCTGTAGCCCGCGACGTTAGCCCTGGGTTGGACTCCAGGTCGCCGGTCGCGATGGAGGGCAGCTCCTCCGAGTGCAACATCAAGGTGATGTGCCGCTTTCGGCCAAGGAGCACTGCTGAGAAGACGGACACGGCGGCTGCCAGTCCGGCTCGTCTCTGCGGCGATGGCGACACCGTGCTGTTCGGGGTGAGCACCTTCCGCACGGATGCACCGCGTTCATTTCGTTCATCCATCGTGTGGCGTTCGTCCACCGCTTCGTTCATTGCATACACACTCCGCTGCACCTCAATGTGAAATCGCGGTCGTTGATCGGCATCTGCACATCCAGCCACACGGCGAGAATAATATTCGTTTATTTTAATCGATTCGTTCGTTGATTGATCCTATTCGTTGTCCGATTCGTCGATTCATTAATTGCTTTAAGCTGTTCGTTTAGGAATTTCATTGTGTTGCTTCTTTTTCGCCCGTCGATTTATCTGTAGATTATTTCATCGCCTTGAGCCATTCGTTGATCATGTGTTCATGTCATTCGTTGCTTCATCCGATTGTCACGTAATCATCGCTAAGCCGCTTAATTATGCGATCGATGTATCGCTTCGTTGCTTCATTCATTTGTCATCTGCGTCGTTCGCTGGACACTTTAATTCATCAATCGCATCATTAAGCAAATGCAATGGAACGCTGAAAAACAAAGCACGGTACGCGTAATGTAATGCATTGCGACTGTGGCCACGCAACGCACGTGGCCACATGGCAGAGGTCGCAAACAGGTTTTGATTCCTTACCCGTACCCGGCCGCACCAGGGTCGCAATCGGGTACCCGATACCCGGCTACCCGTACCCGGCCGGGTATCGGGTAGGATACGGGTACCCGATTGCGACCTCTGGGATGAATCCATGTTGCAGGCACGGGTGGGTTGATTCTAGGAACTTGAATTGTGAGAAGAGAACAAGACGTTGGGAAATGAGTGACAAATGGTTACACACCAGTGACTCACGGCTTACCCGTACCCGGCCGCACCAGGGTCGCAAACGGGTACCCGTACCCGGCCGGGTACGGGTATCGGGTACCCGGTTGCGACCTCTGCCACACGGTGGCCTGCTGAAGCCCCTCTTGTCGTAGCCAGCAGCAGCAGGACCTCAACATTGGCAATCCAGCTCCTGAACGTACCGCCATCCGCAAGAAGATCGAGATACGTAGAGACCCAGACTCAACGAGACACATCGAGATATTCATCTAAGACAAGTCATAGAAGTGCGACTGTGTCCATGCAACTCGAGCTATGGACCCACACAGGGGCGGTTTCTTCATTAGGGCGATTGGGCGACGCACCACCAATGTCATTCAACCACAGAGTCACGCTAGCCGTCACTGTGCCTCTGGATATAGTCCAATCAGCGTCATGTCACGTTCTGTGGAGTACCGCCTCTTTTTGGGCGATTTCACTCCGGCTGAGAATCGCCCCGAGTGGCCCCATAGACTTACATTCAAAGATGTTTTTTTTCGAACGGGGGCGCTCCAATGCATTCTCTATGGCTTCCGGGAGGGCATGCACTAACGTGCTTACGTCATCATACGTGCTAACGTCATCATACGTAAGCACGTTTCATCCAACAATATAATTTATCGCTACCTAGTGGAATCTTTAATAAAATAAACTTGAGTGGTTTGTTTTAATAGTGAGTATAGAAACAAACAAGATGTATTGTAAGTCACTTTATTTTTCATTAATATTAAAGAAGCGAAGTTGCCTTTACATGCTTAAGCTGTTAATTTATTCATTGCATGGGTGGACCTTATCCTTATCAATCATCCAGACATTTGCCCCCCCTGAGAGATTTTGCAGGAGCCGCCACTGGACCCACACCGTGTTTAGTGCCACTGTGGCGGTGGGCGCTCCTTCAACGGATGTGGAGGAACAGCGACACGACACGAACTCTCTCTCTCTCGCTCTGCTTAAGCCCTCTTGTCGTAGCCAGCACCAGCAGCAGTCCTCGGCATTGGGGCATCGATCTCCTGAACGTCCTGGATTTTTTCCATACGCAAGAACGTAGTTCGTCAGCGCTTAATGTGCGTCGTGCAATGCGTGCATTCATTAAGCGTCTAGTTATTAAATGATTGCATTCATCGATGCCATCCTTTGCTTCGTTCGTCAGAACTGAGCCATTGTTGGTGCTGTTCAGGCATTTGGCTCCGTGGTGGTTAATTGGAATGCAGAAGTTTGCGAGATGAACAAACAACACGCAGGTTATTGAAATATTCGTAGAATAACAGCCAAATAACTGCACAATAATAACAACAACAATAGTAATGTCCTTTACTTATGCACGTAAGCCTCCATGAGTCTCGGTTGCACATCGGAGACATCAATTGTTCAATCGCAGTATAAGTGAGCATCAATCACTTGGCGATGCTCATGCTGTGTTGGCAGTAGTGCAGAAGCACAACTAACAAAACAGCTCCACACGTGGCAGTGGTATTCACGAGTGCGTTAAATTGGGGTTGTGTATGCCTGAGCAGGTAGAGGTTGCGAATCCGGAAGCTACGACAGTGCCCCCCATATGTACAAGACGAGCGATGGAATGGCAGCCAAATGAGAGGGAATGCAGCCGCGGGGGAGGGGGTGACGACCGTCGCGGAGATGGAGCGATGGAGAATACAATTCGTGTGCAAGGGGGTGAGATGGATTCATTGCTGCATCGCCCGACCATGAGGTTTGGCGACAGCATGGGAAGGGCGCCATCATCCAGCAGCGGATAGACCAGGGGTCGGCAACCTTGCGGCTCTTTCGATTTAAAGCTTTCGTGACTGCAGGGATTCATCTTCTTGGTTCTTTCGGTAAAGTCACGTAGAAGGGAAATAATAAAGTAATAAAATAAAGCATTATAAAATAATTCTCACGACGTTTCGGCCACAACGCAAGCAGCCGTCCTCAGGTGGAGAACAGGTCTTTCGAGAAAACAGAGTCTGAATTCATTTCCATTCTACGTGACTACGAAGACTTGCGGCTCTTTTTAAAGACTGCCTCGTAACAATATTATTGAAGGACCCCCACCGTCTTGTATCCACACGCATCGCGGCTCTTTAAATATTTTCTTACTGAATTATGGACAAAATATGGCTCCTCTAAAAAAAGTTTGTTTACCGACCCCTGGGATTGACCATTGGCCCGATGGTGAATTGAAAACCCTTTGATGCATTTTGGGTGTTTTATAGGTTTCTCAAAGAGTGTGTTACGTCTCCCTGGAACTGATCGCAATGACGCTGATCGACGTCGCAGGAGGAGCCATGTGTCCGGGTCTCGGGCAGCTCCGCTGTTTGTTTTTCGAGATGTGCATGGAGCCAGAATGACAGGGCAACCCGCGAGCTGTCACTCGCGATGCTAAGCGTGTGCCCGCTGGTAGCGCAGCTTGACGAGCGCGTTGTTTGTTTCATAGGGGCGAGAGCTTTGATACAGCTGTTAGCGCGCTGCATGATGAACACCCCGCCCCCCGCCTCGGCCTGAGTTCGACTCCTAGCCACGGCGGTGGGAGTCGTGTACGGAAATCTAAGCCGGTTCTGGCCCTCTCCCCTTGCTCTCCATCCCTATCGCCAACTCACATTGACCAGCGTGGTGAAGTATGGTCAAATCGGCCCCCGTGATCTAGGGGAGGCCCGGCATCCGGTAGTGGATTCATAAACGACGGTACATTACGTTGAATTGTTGTTTGTGGATCTTTATCATCACAGTTTAGCTATGACCCCATCTGGAGGTGAGTGGACAAAAAAAAAACCCACTGTCGGCAAAAAGTGGCACTCAGAGCTGTAAACTTTTATGAAACGTTGCATCACGCACCATACTTCAAGTATAAAACATTTACACGTGAAGTTTATGCCGTGTGTTCTCCGTGCTGCGCGATGTGAGCGCGGCCCTCTTGACAAGCCACTGCTGGATGAAGGCAACCCCCTGCACTCCCGAATGATCCGTGATCGGGGTCGTTTGACCATACTTCACCACGCTGGTCAGTGCAGATTTGGACCAGGACCGGTTCGGATATCGCTCGCCCTCTGATGCTAGCAATCGAACCCGGTTGTCGAACTTGGGTATCCAATTCGGGTGTCTTGGTTTATAGCACAGTGGCACTAACCTCTCTGCCACCGCTCCCACGCCCACCCCCCCTCCCTGTTCTGTACTTTGCACGCAAAACATTCACGGCGTTGTAGTATCGCGAAAAAAATATACACGTGTATGCACGGAGAATGCAAATATCGTCGAGGCAAAGTGAGCGAGTGTTCGTGCCACTACATCGAGTAATGTCCCGAGTCAGCAATGGAAGTTCCACATTGCTTTGGATGGGACCAGTGGCGCCGTAGGATAATCCTCATGAACGTGCAAAAACCCAACCGCTCTCTATACGTGAAAATGTGTATGTGCTGTGGGTAGAAAGATGCTTTTAGTAAGGACCCAAGGAACCAGTAGAAGGCCAAATCCGTTGTCAAGCCGAGAATGGTGTTTTATTTGGAACACATTTCTACCCAGATGTGCCTGCTGAGATAATCACAACAATACATTTGAACGCAAAACTTCCTTCTGTGTTCTTAGGTTTTTTCGGTAAAGTCACGTAGGTAAAACATTAAAATTAATAAAAGTAAAATAAAATAAAAATCACGACGTTTCGGAGGCAACACAAGCTTCTGTCTTAAGGTGGAACCGTCACAGCCACGACAGCTGTATCAAGTAAATGAGAGATTGCAAGAGCTACCACTCCGTATATATAATGGTTGGAGAGGGGGGAAGGGCCAAGTACGCCACACTTTTTATTCATATGGTAAGGTGAGGCTTAAGAGGGTGAGCCTTTGTTATGGAGAGGTACGGTTTGTGGCAAAGCCTGGCCTACAAAACAATAGTGTGAAAAAAGAAACAACTAAACATGGTAAAATAAGCCTGACTGTCTATCAATAACCTGTAATAGTTGTCTGTCAAATAAGATTGGCCAAATAAGTGTAGTTAAATCTTTTTTGCATGGTTGATCACATCTTTCCAATGATTACTCAGTTTGTAACCATCATCACGTTACCATACATAGCAGGCGTGACCAAAAAGATCTCCAAAATTCTAAACAAACATAAGATCCAAGTCCGATTCAGTACAGTGCATAAAATCCGTGATCTGATTCCATCTGTGAAGGATGTCGTTCCTGACTTACAGTATCCTGGAGTCTACAAATTGAGTTGCATTTGTGGTGATTGCTACATTGGAGAAACGAAACGTCATGTTTCTGATCGTGTCCGCGAGCACAAGTCAGATCTGAAACACGGCAGAACTGATTCTTCGGCCGTTGCCGATCATTGCTACAACTCGGTGGGCTCTCATGAAATTGTCTTTTCCGAGACCAAGGTTCTCTGCAAACCTCCTGGCTACCATCAAAGGTTTGTACACGAAGCCATACAAATATACAAACACAGACATAATTTCAACCGTGATGATGGTTACAAACTGAGTAATTATTGGAAAGATGTGATTAACCATGCAAAAAAGATTTAACTACACTTATTTGGCCAATCTTATTTGACAGACAACTATTACAGGTTATTGATAGACAGCCAGGCTTGTTTTACCATGTTTAGTTGTTTCTTTTTTCACACTATTGTTATGTAGGCCTGGCTTAGCCACAAACCGTACCTCTCCATAACAAAGGCTCACCCTCTTAAGCCTCACCTTACCATATGAATAAAAAGTGTGCCGTACTTGATCCTTCCCCCCTATCCAACCATTATATATACGGAGTGGTAGCTCTTGCAATCTCTCATTTACTTGATACAGCTGTCGTGGCTGTGACGGTTCCACCTGAAGACGGAAGCTTGTGTTGCCTCTGAAACGTCGTGATTTTTATTTTATTTTACTTTTATTAATTTTAATGTTTTACCTACGTGACTTTACCGAAAAAACCTAAGAATATGAATCCTTGCAGTCACGAAAGCTTCAAATCTAGAATTAATTCCTTCTGTGTCTCCACACACACAAATAACAATTAGTTTTAAGTCAAATCGCCCTATTGGTAGTTTGCAATGGGAAACTGTGAATAATTTTGCGCTTGCTCGAAAACGGAGTGCAACACAAGAACCAATTGTCAATGCGGACGCTGCAATAGTACTGCACAAGAGACAGAGAGTAGCACTGTGTGAGATGTAGCAATCGCGCACCGTGTACTCCATCTGCTCCTCACGTGCACACACACACGTGTATGTGTGTGTGTGTGCACTCAGTTGGGGGGGTAGCGGCTAGGAACCCAGCGACCGGAGTTTGATTGCCGCTCACGGTCAACTCCAGTGACGATTATCTGAACACTGTCCTGGGCCTCCCGTAGGTTGACTCTGCCCCAAATGAGTACCTGGTGCGGAGTAGGAAACATCGTCACTGGGGAGACAGCCGGGCATGGTGGTGCTGATCACCCGCCCCCTCGTGTGCCGTGCCGGCCTTCGTAGGTGCTGCTCGCTATTACAGCACTTGCCCCAACAGTCTCATGCAGGCCTTGAGCGAATACTCTAATTTGTGCTCAACTGCGTTAGTGATTCTGAAGCCAGTGGTGGAAATGTTGAGTTCTTGGCCAGGGAGGCATTTTTTTCACTTGAAGATGTCAGGATGTGTCGGGTAGCAGTTGTGTGCTAAATTCAGACATTACTGTGCGGCATTCGGCAGTGCTTGCAATAGCTGCCCTCCCGAGCGTGACACCACAACCCAGGCATCTGCCTGGGCGTTTTCACAAGCCACCGCACGCATCTCCCGCGCAGCAACTATGAGAGAATTGTTTGGCCGTCTTATTACAAACAATATCTACCCAAAGGCAATGGCTCTGCAGCGTCTGTACTTGCGTATTGCACATAGTGTACAATTTGTAATGCCCAGCAGTTCAACTTGAAATAATAATAATACTACAGACATTTGTTTGTCCAGGAAATTCCCACCGATTCTGAAGACTTTTTCAGGAGGGTCCTGCATTAAGGTGTTTGGCCAATTCCATCAAAGAGATGTTTAGCTTTGAGGTGAGAAGACCTTCACATGAGCATTATTAGAGCGGCGAGTTGAATTAGAGGGATTACCTGAATTTGAGTCCTAGATTTTGTGGAACTTGAGGATAGTGCTTGGCGCACTGCGCTTTGAACCCGGCGAATCCAAGTTGGAGTCCAGGCCAAGGCGAACAAAAGTGACAAAGGAATATCTGAACTGGTCTTGGCCCACCCGTTGACCAACCCACATTGCCCAGAATGGGGAAGTAAGGTCAAAGCGCTGTCAAGCCCAGCTACTTGATTTTGATTCCCAGGGCTGTGGCTAAAACTTTGTGGTAGAGTTATACCTGAACCGGTCCTGGACCACCTCCCTTCACCGACCCACACTGACCAGCGTGCTGAAGTATTTTAAAGTAATTCTAGATTTGAAGCTTTCGTGACTGCAAGGATTCATATTCTTAGGTTTTTTCGGTAAAGTCACGTAGGTAAAAAATACAATTTTTAAAGTAGCCCCTTACGATGTATGTATGTACACGACATGTATGTGTGTACATTGAACTTCTTTAACACCACCATACATATCCAACCGTGCAAATTGGAGGTGCGGGGGACAACAAACTAAATGCACGACAATGAAAGGACTGTTTGTACGTTTTGATTTTAAACATGTGTTTGTGTATTTTCCTCTCTCTGTGTCTCTGTCTCTCCCACCGCCCACCTTAGGGGAAGCCGTTCGTCTTCGACCGAGTCTTCTCCTCGGAGGCCATGCAAGAGCAAGTTTACAACGCGTGTGCCCGCGCAATCGTAAAAGGTTAAACTTGTGGCCACGCGGGCTCGCACTCTTTTTAACCACCCCATTTTCTCACGTTCGAATCTCGTGACTGCCATTAAAAACAAAGCCCGGTCGCTGCTCGTTCGACCGAATCGCTCACTAATTACCGGTGAATTATTTAGCTTTTTATTTTTATTTTTTGTCCGAGCTTGCAATTCCTCATTTGACGGCGCACCATGCAAAATATATGGGCCTGCGTAAGCTGTGGGCATATATCTTAAAAGTACCGGATGATGCATTGACTACTATACACGTGGACGGTGGCGTGTGTCTGTAATCCGGCACCGGAGGCGGCGAAGGTTGTGGTGGATCACCGCACCGATGTTGATGATAAAGTAAGAAGAGGAGAATTCTATATCTATATATACACACCTGATAACAATAAATGGATCGCCGTTTCTTTATATATTCGCATAGCTTTTCAAATCGTGTGGCCGTTACCGCAATTGTCTGTGATAATGAATGACTTACGTTGGCGCCGTCGCTCGTAAATTTGCATGAAACACGGCAAAGTTAATATATAAACAGATAAAAAAAAAAATTTAACTACCAATTGAACACTGCATTGTAGCCACGATGTAAAGGCGCAGCCCTGCAAGTGCTCGCTCATGTCACTGCTGGGGGCAGTGCCTCCACTAGAGGGCGATCCAGACGGCACCACCAGAGAAGAAACTTCCACCTCCTCTTCAGAGCTGGCCAGACGTTTGAACTTGTTGGGAGCACTCGCACTTTACCCCACCACATGCCACCTTCCAACGGCGATCAAATCACTTCTTGTATACCCTATTGTTGGTTCTTTTGGAAAAAGTCACGTAGAAGGGAAATAATAAAATAATATAAATATAAAACAATAAAAATTATCACGACGTTTCGACTGCAACACAAGCAATCATCATCAGGTGTGAAATCCACAGCAAGAACATTTTTCTTGCTGTGGATTTCACAAGAAAATTTTCTTTCTGTGGATTTCACACCGAAAATTAGTCAAATTTTTTTGAAACATTTTCCGGTGTGAAATCCACAGCAAGAAAATTTGAAACAAATTTGACTAATTTTCGGTGTGAAATCCACAGAAAGAAAATTTTCTTGGGAAATCCACAGCAAGAAAAATTTCTTGCTGTTGATTTCACACCTGATGATTGCTTGTGTTGCAGTCGAAACGTCGTGAGAATTTTTATTGTTTTATATTAATATTATTTTATTATTTCCCTTCTACGTGACTTTACCGAAATAACCAAGAAAATGAATCCCTGCAGTCACGAAAGCTTTAAAACAAAATTCTTGTATACCCGTTTATACTATTGGGCCAATAGGCTTGTGCCGATGATATTTTAAACATTTAAACATGTGCGCCAACTGTTGGGCGATGTCGACACGCCCGCTTGCCAATGCATTGGAGAACGCTGTGACGTCAAACAATTCCTAAGCGTTGCATTCAACATTCCTAAGCCAAACAAACGTGTCATTGCAGATGTCCTGGAAGGCTACAATGGGACGATATTCGCCTACGGTCAGACATCGTCTGGAAAAACTCACACGATGGAGGTATCATTTTTCTCTCTTCGTACTTTATACATCTGTCTCTGGCATTGCTGGATAGCTGGTTGTGAATCCAGGTTGCCACCTACGCAGCGATTTCACGTCCTCGGCCTGAGTAACCGCAAGGATCGTACGCGAAAAAAACCCATCGGGTAGACGTTTGTCCCGTACTCAATTCGGTGACATTACGGCTATGGGAATAGCTGGGAATGAATGTCGAGTGGTTTGACTGTCGTGCGATGAGGAGTGGTCTCGGCGGCAGTGCAGGTGAGAAAGCTCTGCAAGGATATCTCCGCTGGAGTGTCCGCGACCGAGGGCCGTTGTCTCACACAGAAGGGTTGATCTGCTCTGCAAGAGTTCCAAATGAAACGTGAGGCCGATGTCATGGTTGGGATAAACCACATTGCAAAATCGAGGCGATCGCTCTCAGGCGTTAAACCCCCAGCATGCAACTCGAGATAGCACTGGGGCGCCTGTGTATAAGTGAGTTAGATTTCAGTGTGTGGCGAGTTAGGTGCCAATGTGTAGCGAGTTAGGTGCCCGTAATTTTTTCTCCAGGTCCTCCGGTTTTTCTCTCCAAATTTTGAATTAACATGCGTTTATAATGTTGGCTGCTATTCATTTTAATGTGATAAGTTGCTTCGTTGAGCTATCATTTGTGATAGCCAGGTCGCTTCTGGAAAAATGGCTACATAGCTCAGTGGGTAAAGCAAAAATCGTCAAGTCAAAACAAACCACGTACGTTTCACGTCCTGACAAGCCCTGCCTCTCCGCCTGCCAGCCAAGGAGAACGCATCGCACACGCGCGCACTGCGCGCGTTACGCCACCACTTTGTCTGGAATGAACGCCGCGTGCGTCTCCGCTGACGAGCCGATTGAGCCGCCGTCCCACGACAGCTGTCGTAGATGGTCACAAGGCAAAAATACCAATGGCCAACGGGCACCGCACGGGAAAGTGGGGCACCGCACGGGCGACAGGTGAAAATAATGCTTCGTGGGGGGCTAAAATAGATAGTTTTGCGGGGTGGAGGGGACGGAAAGAAATAATTTATGTATTTTTAAACGAGTGATATATTTTTGGTTGTATGTATTGCAGAACTTCTTTTGCACCGTACGTAGCCAACCGTGCTGATCGGAGGTGTTGGGGGGAAGGACAACAAACTAAACACAAAAAGCAGTTCTGAGGAAATTAGTTTTTAATCTAGCGCATATATCCAGGGGCTTCCTAATATAGGAAGGAAGAGCGTTCCAGATGGCCGCAAACGCACATTTGAAAGCGCTCTATGCATCGACCGTCTTTGTTCGATGTCTACCCAAAAGCCGCTGCGAGGATGACGGGAGTTCGCGTGATGGTTTATGCTCCTTGAAGAGATCGGCAAGGTATCGTGGTTCATTTGTGTGAGGCAGTTTGTGCGTAATGAGTGCAACCTTGTAATGTATTCATTTTAGATTTGAAGCTTTCGTGACTGCAAGGATTCATATTCTTGGGTTTTTTCGGTAAAGTCACGTAGGTAAAAAATTAAAATTAATAAAAGTAGACTAGCCGTAGTTTCAGCCGCACCAACATTACCATAATAATAAAAAGGGGGCCTGTCCTGGCTCCTCCCCCCTCAACCAGTATATATACAGGGTCAAGTCTTTTGGAATTTCTCATTTACTTGATACAGCAAGCGTGCTGTGACGGTTCCACCTGAAGACGGAAGCTTGTGTTGCCTCCGAAACGTCGTGATTTTTTATTTTATTGAAATTTTATTTTTATTAATTTTAATTTTTTACCTACGTGACTTTACCGAAAAAACCCAAGAATATGTATTCGTTTGTCAACCAGAAGCAAATGCAGCTCTGCGAGCGCCGGACGGACACGGTCGGATCTTGCAGTTGAAAGTTAATGACGCATCCAAGGGCACAGGCTCTCTCACCGTGTGTCGGTCTCCCAGGTGGTCGTGGTGGCGGTGGCCTTGCGCTTCCATACATTTTGGACATTGTCCGAATTAATGAAATTGCTCGGGTCAGGTTCACCGATTTGCGTGCAGCCTACGACGTGGTGATGGCACGATCGCCACCGACTTGCGAGCTGGCTTACCATGCAGGGTCCACAGATTGAGTTCCACATCGTCAACAGTGGTAATGCAGGGGGCCTTGCTAGCCCATGCAGGGCAGCAGAAGGCCCCGTCACGTCACCCGTAGCAGCAGGACGCTGTGTCGCAATAGAACGAACGAATGCTGTCAAAAGTCCAAGCAATTTCCTGCTCGAATGAGCATTGAAGGCGGATCACAATCGGGAACGATTGCGAGTTCAAATCCTGGTTGGGAGGTTCAACTGAGCCCATCGTCCCTCCGGGGTCGGTAACATGATTGCCAGGCTGTCGACACCCGCCAATTAGCACCGTTGGCTATGTACAGTGCGAAATAAGGTCAACGTACATACATGCAATGACGGTCGTCCTATGGATTAAACTCGCTCCCTATCATAGGAATGTGTAAATTCCACTTCGGGTTCAGAACTGGGTTTGAAGATAAGTACCACCTCAATCCGCATTTGAACAGGATATTATATTGACTTTGACTGGGTGGGAGAGGCGTTTTGGCTTGTTAAAGCGAATTCTCTTTAATGGTTTTGGTTCATTCGGTACCCTTGAATCGAACCCTTGTGGCAGCTGCTGCTGCTCCAAGTATTCTCCCATTCTCTTCAGCTGTTGTTTGCCCGTCTCCGGAGATGCTCGCAGAGTAAACGAATCGTGCGCAGCAATACGTCTGGGGCCGGGGTAATCCGCCGCGGCTGATGGAAGGAAAGCCTGACATTTAGAATAAAGTGGCGCTGCCATTGAAGACCGCACTTGACCGCTATTTCTGTCCATGGGCACGGAGTATCCGATAACACGTTGCGTGTGCACGGGGCAGAGCTGCTGGCGCAATACTTTGGGGTGGCAGAAAGTCTCTCTCTGTACAGTACTCGTAAAAACACACACACACATAATGAGCTGTTATGATGTTTTGAGTGTGGGTGGGTGGTGGGTTGCTTGTGCCTACATTGAAACACTGGGTGTTCATGCAGAGCATTTCTGGCGTCCGATATAAACTGTTGGATAAAAAAAACAGATGTAGATTTTTTGTTTGTTTGTTGAGTCACCTATTCACGGTTGTTAGGCTTGAGGCACCCTTTGGGTTAAAGTTGTTTATAGCGTACGTGGCGATCCATTTATAGATACCCCACTGATTTCTAATAACTCCACTCTCAACAGTGTTGTAAAGGCGATGGCTTCACGGATTAGAGGGAGAGGCGTTAACAACGATTCAACAAGTGCATTGAGATTGGTTTCGGAGACGAGGCTTTGAAATTAAAGATTGCTTTCTCTACACGAAATGTATTCCTATTTTATGAGTGGGGTATCTGTAAATGGATTTCATTATATAGGCAGTTTTTTTTTTTTCTTGGTTCTTTCGGTAAAGTCACGTAGAATGGAAATAATAAAATAAAATTAAAAAGTTAATAGAATTTTTATTTTTATTATTTTATTATTTCCATTCTACGTGACTTTACCGAAAGAACCAAGAAGATGAATCCCTGCTGTCACGAAAGCTTTAGATCGAAATTTAGGCAGTTTTTGTTGCACGGTACTTCTATGCTGCCACGTCCAAGGCTCCCCCCCAGCTTCACCAGCATGGTGAAGTATAGTCGCTTAACCCCGCCCCCCCCCCCTCCCATGGCCTCGCACGGCATGGGGAGGCCCTCATCCAGCAGCGGATTGCCCCAAGGGCTGTACGCGTTGTGTACACTCTCACACTCCGACGTCGGTTTCGACGGCACACGAGCACGCCTGGAATGCCGCTACGCGATGGAAAGTCTCTCGTTGTCCCCCGATCTCACATCGCCAGGCCCGGTCGCCTGCGGGGGGGGGGGGGGGGGGTGACCTCCGCGTGAAGGGCCCTTCTTGTGTATCGTGCGGCACGTTTCAGCCAAGGTCAAAATTGGTCAACCCACGCAAATCTGTGTTTGGCAAAGAGTGCTCATCCGGTGTTTGTATGTAGCACGTACGTATGTTGGGCTTCTTTCGCACCGTACGTAGCCAGCCGTGCTAATCTGAGGCATGGGGGGTTGGAGGGGACAACATTTGAATTGCAAAAAATTAACCCGTAAAAACAAAGTTTTTCACTATAAATCCTTTATATGCGTGGCATCGGTTTTATTTTATTATTCATTTCTGTTTTTCTTGAGTAAGAGTTTCATTTTTATCACATTGGTATTTTTAATTAAATATGAAAAACAAGTAAACCCGTAAAAACAAAGTTTTTCACTCTAAATCCTTTATATGCGTGGCGGCTAGAGTTCTCTCGTCCTCTGGCTTGAGATGGCTGCAATCTATGGGTCAGATGATTGTCTGCCAGTATTAAGCAATTGGTAATTAAATATTTAATTTGTTTTCCCTAAACAGTGTAAAATTTTGGAAAAAAATTTTCACGAAAAGTAATTCTCACACACAACGAGTCTGTGTGGAAAATGTCAGCTCGATTGGATCACGGGAAGTGGGTTAAAAAACGAGCGAAAGATTTGCACGGTCCTAAGCAAGCAAGCGAACTTAATATAAAGGATTTAAAAATATATTCGCCTGTGGAGGACGCGGGGATCGATCCCGCGACCTTTGGCATGGGAAGCGAGGGCGCTACCAACTGCGCTACTCCACCACGGCCTGTGGAGGGGTTACGCTCTGGGCTCTTACACTCTGACGTTCAGCCAAAGCCATGAATGCGTTCTATTTGAATATATGTAAAATAAAAAATTTTTGCCTAAAAAGTGTAACATTTTGGGAATTTTTTTTCACAAACAATAATTGTCTGGCACAACGAGTCTGTGTGGAAAATGTCAGCTCGATTGGATCACGGGAAGTGGGTTACAAAACGACCGAAAGATTTGCACGGTCGTAAGCGCGCAAGCAAGCAAGCAAGTGAACTTAATATAAAGGATTTAAAAAGCACGGAGACTGAATTCAGGCTTCCGGATTAGTAGAGTAATGCACGTTCAAGTTCATTTAATTGAACCCGTATGTGAGGACTGGCTATGGACCCGAATGAATGCCTGTGTTTTGTGAATGTTCATTTTCGTCCCAGAATATTTTAGCGATGGGGCAAATTGTCCTCCTCGCGATGCGTCTCGTCCAGTTCCATCGCAGTGTGAATGCTGCCGAAGCGTTCGAATCGCAAATTTTGTTTGTTTGTGGTAACGTTCGTTCTTAGAGTTGTACTCCCGTTATTCCCTCGTTATTCGCGAGTGGTACGTTCCGGAGATGCTCGTGCAAAGAAAATTTTGCGGAAAATTATATTGGCCGACGAAAATCTTTCTTTTTAATTAATTACGTTAAATAAATACGTAAATAAGCTATTCAATACATGAAAATTATCTGATCACTTTATCTCGTCACATTCTCGCATCGCATGCTCTCTCATCACTCTATCTCTCATCACTTTATATCATCATCTTATTTTTCTCTCCCTCTCTTGATGCAGTAGTGTAGAGTTCCAGATGCGATTCGAGGATAACCAAAATTGCGGATAGCAAGTTTATGAATAACGATAGAATACTGTATTACTATTATTTAGTATTTTTTTCGTCTTGCCCATACGTTTTCACATCTGTGCATTAGCCAGCATAAGTTACCAGCTGACACTATGTGTTTTTTACAATACATATTATAAACCGCTACGTCGCGTATCCAACTCGTTGGGGACTGCAGTACAGCCGGATATGTGACCGCCTTTGGGAAATGACAGAGCATTCACACATCCGCTACTGGATCAAAATATATGTGGGAAAATGACTTTCACGGCACTTTATAAGTAAAAAAATATATCGCAAATTACATCACAGATAAGTACTCCAACTGGGTCTCGGCGGGTTGACTGGCCAGGACTGAATTGTGACTGTCGGATATGTGGTGCAGTACCGCGCAGTATTTCACTCGCTCTATTATCCAAATCACAGGATTGTTTTCAATGACACGGCTACGCATTTTTGAGTCGGCGTGACGACAGCTCTGCTGTGTAGTGCACGCTGACGTCTCGGCCGTTGTTTGTTTGATGCGTTCAGGGAGACCTCAACGACCCGGAGCTCATGGGCATCATTCCGAGGATTGCGCGGGACATTTTCAACTACATTTACTCCATGGACGAGCACTTGGAGTTCCACATCAAGGTCAGCCCCCTCCCGATAACTTGCCGCCCCGCTCGCTTGCTCCGTCGCTCACTCGCCGTGCCGCTGGTCAGCCACGAGGTGACGGGGAAAAGAGCGAAACGAAAACCTTGCGGGTGGCAGCGAGGATGCAGGAAGCTTCATGGTTGCACCCGCTGATTAGCATGGTCGGCTACGTACGGTGCGAAAGAAGCTCGACACACGGTACATACGTCACCATCGTATTCATCAGCCATGATCAATCCGCTGCTGGATGAAGGCCGTCGCCATCTCTCACGGTCCTGCAATGGAGCGATCCATCGAGTAGCTGCACGCGAGCCGATTTCGTCGCTGCAAGCCAAAGCTTGTTTTGTGCAATTTTCTTACGTTCATTTGCATTTCCCTTTTGCATTTTCTGTTTTAATGTTCACGTAAATCTCTCTCTCCGCAGCATCTCATGGTTGCTCGTGCTTTGCAAGCGAGTGCGTCAATTTACATGATGGTTTTACCGTGATTATTACGGTCCGTCGTTTTGACATTTCAGAGGTGGTCGGGCAGCTCGGGGGGAGGGCTTGCGTCCTGCCAGAGGCCTCAGAATCAGAATCAGTATTTTAGACCGGAGAAGGAATCTGATGAGCTGTGACGCTCTATTTCACACGTGTCCAGTATGACCTGAGCCAGCACCACTAAAAGCCTTCGTTTGAATCCAGCCAGCCACCCAAGATGAGAATACGGGGCAAGCAGTGAACATTTTCACCTGTGGCCAACCGTTATTCGTGTCCCAAACTGGTCACCAATTACTGCACAAATTAAACGAAGGGCCTTGGACAATTCTTCACAAACAAGTTTTGCCATGTTCAGCCATGTGTGTATATATATACGTGGATTGCACATCATTAAATAGTGTTTTGAGTGTTGGATATGAATATTTAAATGTGCTCACATCAAATGTTTTTTTTATTCTGACTGTAGGTTTCCTACTTTGAAATATACTTGGATAAAATCCGAGACCTCTTAGACGGTAAGCCACAATCTCACTTGTGTTCTTGGTTCTTTCGGTAAAGTCACATAGAAGGGAAATAATAAAATAATAAAAATAAAATGATAGTATGTTTTATTTGTATTATTTTATTATTATAAAATGATAGTATGTTTTATTTGTATTATTTTATTATTTCCCTTCTACGTGACTATACCGAAAGAACCAAGAATATGAATCCTTGCAGTCACGAAAGCTTTAAATCGAAATCTCACTTGTGTACAACGGATCCATTGCATCCTTGCCTGCGTGCGGTCATTTAATTTTGCAGCCTCATATAATTTGCCTTGCGCCGTTCATTTCCTGAGCTACAATGACACGCATGCCTCTGCGTGCGTGCGCATTCTCACGGCAGTGGAAAAGGTGAACTTGTTGGTTCACGAGGACAAGAACAGGGTTCCCTACGTCAAGGTAACGTCACATACCATCGCATTAAAATGGTGTAGGTTGATTGAAAGTTATTTTGTCGTTCTGATTATGAATCTACAACCGACACAGCTACAGGGAAAGAGTAATGGACCAGAGAAGCGGAAAAAGTTTTCACTTTTTAGAATGCAAATTTAGGTTTTGTTGAGACGGTGCGGACCTGATCTGGAAAGCGGTGTGAATGTATGTGTGTTGAACATCTTTCGCACAGTGCGTAGCCAACCGTGCTAATCGGAGGTGCAGTGTTGAGTCTGTGGGCAGTGTTGAGTCTATATGGGCAGTGTTGAGTCTATATGGGCAGTGTTGAGTCTATATGGGCAGTGTTGAGTCTATATGGGCAGTGTTGAGTCTATATGGGCAGCATGTATGAATGCTGAACTTTTTTCGCACCATACATAGCGAACCGTGCTAAACGGAGGTGCGGACACGCTTAATGGAGAGCGTCACCTCAACGCTGTTCGTCAGGATTTGAAATTTGAAATGCACGGATTGCGCATTAAGTGGTCTCGCAGCTGCGCCGCCTGATATTGTGGATTTATTTATCGGTGAGAATGTAATCATCAACTGTGGTGGTGGTGGTGGCCGCCCGACTCGCAAGTGGGGATCGTCGTCGTACTGCGTTGTAAGAAAGTTTTGCTGGCTGGCTGGAGGGAGGGAGATAGGGACAGGATGGACAAATGTACAGATGATGTCTTGCTTGGCAAAGGAATACACGGCCAATGAGCAGAGGGAGACCTGTTGATGACTTGGATCATATTCAGGATTGTTGACAGACTAGTGCCCCGCTGAAGCCACGTGTGCTCTCCAACACACCGGTGTGCTGAAGCAGTAACCAATTGTCACATCACTAATTGTCTGTGTCGGGCGGTGGGCGGGGGTTTAACGACACAATATTTACGCGATCTAACCCCCAAATATTTTTTTTCTTTTCTTGGTTCTTTCGGTAAAATCACGTAGAAGGGAAATAATAAAGTAATAAAAATTAAACATAATAAAATAATATAATAAAAAAACATTTTTTTTTCCCATTTCCCTTCTACGTGACTTTACCGAAAGAACCAAGAAGATGAATCCCTGCAGTCACGAAAGCTTTAAAATCGTATTTTTTTTATTGTTGACAATATTGGTCGCGAAAGCCTGCGTGGTGTTAAACAGAAGCCAAACGTGTGTTTTGTGCGCGTGACCAAACGCCGATGCGTGGTGACGCCGGCGACGCGGGGGGCCCCTCCCGCGCTGCACAGGGCTGCACGGAGAGGTTCGTATCCAGTCCGGAGGAGGTGATGGACATCGTGGACGAGGGGAAGTCGAACCGGCACGTGTCCGTCACAAGTGAGAGGGATTTCTCGTTGTAATCGGGCTCGTTGCTATCGGTGCGCTCGCTCACCAAGGACGACTCTCGACGCTCGCTCACGGGAGGGTTTCACAATGGGGGTGGGGGGGGCGATGCCGCTGGGTGCAGTCTCACTCGAGGAATCCGCGGGGTCATTTCTCAGCGTTCGGGATGTTGGCTCAATGTCAGTTAAATCGTGTGACTTTCTTCAGCTATGGGAGGAAACCCCGGAGAACTCCAAGGAAGCCCCTATGCAGAACGGGGGGGAGAGAGACCTTACAAACGCAGAAAGGCACCCGAGTCAGAAATTGAACCCTGGCTCTCCGTGCTGCCACGCAGAAGTGCGACCCGCTGTGCCACCCTGCCGCACGACTTGCCCTCGCACTTATAAATATACGGAAAAAAAATTCCGTAAAGAAATGAGAATTAATTTCTTAAGAACTGCTTTTCCTGGTTAGTTTGTTGTTCTTCCCGCGCACCTCCATTTAGCACGGCTGGCTACATACGGCGGTGCGAAAGAAGCTCTACATACATACATACTGTACGTACGTACACGCGTACGTTTCACTCCTTGCGCCCACGTATGCCAACCGCGCGTGTGAGCCACCGCAAGTGACTTGGTTGGGCCCACTCCTTTTTAAATCCTTTATATTAAGTTCACTTGCTTGCTTGCTTGCGCGCTTACGACCGTGCAAATCTTTCGGTCGTTTTTTAACCCACTTCCCGTGATCCAATCGAGCTGACATTTTGCACACAGACTCGTTGTGCGTGACAATTTATTTACGTCAAATCCAAAATTTTACACTTTTTAGGAAAAAATTAATTATATTTAATTACCAATTGCTTAATGGTGGCAGGCAATCATCTGACCCATAGGTGGCAGCCATCTCAAGCCAGAGGACGAAAAACTTCGTTTTTACGGATTAAATTTTTTCTCCCTCCGCCTGCCGCAGACATGAACGAGCACAGCTCGCGAAGCCACTGCGTGTTCCTGATCAGCGTCAAGCAGGAGAACATCCTCACGGAGACCAAGCTCAGCGGGAAGCTCTACCTGGTAGATCTCGCCGGCAGCGAGAAGGTGAACGCCCCCCCCCCGCCCTCTTATTTTACAACGCCGATCCTTTTTTATTAACGGCGCTTCACGAGAGAGCTGCACGCTTGCAATTAAACCGATGGGCAGGGGAATGGGATAGTTTATAGAGCGAGCGTCGCTTTTTTTCTCTCTCTCTCTCTCGTGTGCCGCTGAATGCCGAGCCTGTGCCCCGTGGCGTCTGGACCGCAGGTGAGCAAGACGGGAGCCGAGGGAGCTCTGCTGGACGAAGCGAAAAACATCAACAAGTCGCTGTCGGCGCTGGGCAACGTCATATCCGCGCTGTCCGAGGGAAACGTGAGCCTCCCGTTGGTCCCCTTCCTTTACCCCTTTCGGCAGTGACGACGGTGAGGGCAGGGGGGTGACACGTGGTCTAATCAGGCCCAAACAGCCAGCCGGGGGGATACTGAGCGAGAAATCAAGCGCGACATTTTTTTCTTTGCCCAAAAATAAGTGCCACTTAACCCTTTCCGGTCCCGAGGCGACTGCGGGGTGGGTGTCTCGCCCGTTCACCGCTGAATCTCGGAACGCGCGGGCAGTTCATTATATTTAGAGGGGTGGCGGAGCGCCGTCGTTTTTAACGACGATGTACTCGCCGCAGACAACTGTAGCGACATGACCGCACTATGATAGCTGGCGCCAAACTGTGCCACATGCCCTGCCGTATTGGCCTTGTGGGAGACTCGGTACCGATAAAGTATTTATATGTAAAAAAAACATATCCGTTTCCGTTTGAATGACGTACACACGCACGTCATCGGAACGGGACAGGGTTAATAGGAACTGCATATTTAATTTCCTATTGAGAGACGTAAACGTCCCATATGGATGTGGAATTCCCCATTGCTGTTCCAATGGTTTAAGGGGCACTAGTCCATTGCTGGTTTTGAGCAGACGGAGGGGGGGGAGAGTCTCTTTAATGACCGTGTGGGGTGATTAAATCGCCACTGCTATGGGGAGCGCGGTAGTGTAGCGATTAGCGCACTGGACCAAGAACCCGGCGACCCGAGTTGGGTTCCCATTCACGGCCAACAACGGTGACGAGTATCTGAAACTGCCCTGAGCCTCCCATCGGTCGACTCGGCCTTAAATGAGTACCTGGTGCGGTGTGTGAACATCGCACGCTCGGGGAGTCAAAAGCGGTCGGGCATGGTGCTGGCCACGACGCACCCCCTCGTGTGCCGTGACGGCCTTCATAGGTGCTCGCTAACAGTCTCACTCGCCTCTATTACAGGGTATACGGGGGGGGGTCTTTGTACTTCTCGCGGCTCTGGTTAGCACGGTCGCAACACTCCGATCGGCATACGGTGCAAAAGAAGTTCAACGCTCGCGCATACTCACGTACATTGTTGCCACTCTTTCCGCGGAGCCGCAGAAGGCGTACGTGCCGTACCGCGACAGCAAGATGACTCGCGTGCTCAAGGACTCGCTGGGCGGCAACTGCCGCACGACCATCATCATCTGCTGCTCGCCCTGCGCCAGCAGCGAGGCGGAGACCAAGTCCACGCTGATGTTCGGACAGAGGTGCAGCAGCTGCAGCAGCAACAGCGAGCGCCGCCACCGCCACGGTGGCGGTGACGTTACGACGACGGTCGCAGCTTCTGTAGCGGCGCCTTTCGTCGTCAAACCTCAAAGGCGCTTTGCATCGATGACAATGGGTGGGAGGGGGGGGGGGTTTGGTAAAAAGTGGTCGAGTTAAAACGGGAAATTCCTTCTGAAAGAAAATTATATTTTAGAACGGGATGGTGCAGGTGGGGAGCTTGGACCAGGGCACGTCAGAGCATGGTACGATGCAACAATAGATTTGTTGTCACCGCATCGTGCGGCGCTTTCAGATGCGCCGCTTCTGCAGCCGTCCGGAACGCCCTTCCGTCCAATATTAGGAAGCCACTGGAGCTATGCACTTTTAAATAATCTAGATTGAAAACGAATTTCTTTAAAACTGTTTTTTTTATGTTTTAGACGTTCTTCTCCCACACCTCGGATTAGCACGGTTGGCTGCGTACCATGTGAAAGAAGTTCAACATACATACTGCCCATAGACTAATGCTACCCACAGACTCAACACTGCCCATAGACTAACGCTACCCACAGACTCAACACTGCACATAGACTAATGCTACCCACAGACTCAACACTGCACATAGACTCAACACTGCACCTAGACTCAACACTGCACCTCCATTTAGTACGATTGGCTACGTAGGGTGTGAAATAAATTGAACACATCCAGGTTTCGTGCTTGCGCGCTGGTTGCCGGTCCAAGACACCCTCTCCCCTTATCCAGGCTCAGCCCTGCTTACTAGCTTCCACGGCCTGCCGAAGACCGGGCGCCAGAGGTCGCAAACGGGTTTTGATTCCTTACCCGTACCCGTACCCGGCCGCACCAGGGTCGCAAATGGGTACCCGTATCCGTACCCGGCCGGGTACGGGTACCCGTTCCCTATCCGTACCCGTACCCTACCCGAAATGAGTGACAAACTGTTACTCACCAGTGACTCATGGCCTACCCGTACCCGTAATCGGCCACACCAGGGTCGCAAACGGCTACCCGTACCCGGCCGGGTACGGGTAGCCGGGTATGGGGTAGGGTACGGGTATCGGGTACCCGGTTGCGACCTCTGCCGGGCGCGTTCCCACGGCGACCCGGTCACGGGGATGGACCCCTTCCCGGTTAAAAGTCTTAGCGGCGAGCGAAAGCGATGGGGGACCCCGTGCCCCCCCTCCCCGCGTGTGTGTTCGTGTGTTCACCCGTGCACGCGCTCCACCCCCGGTGGAACCTCGGCAGGGCGAAAATGATCAAGAACACGGTGACGGTGAACCTGGAGCTGACGGCCGAGCAGTGGAAGAAGAAATACGAGAAGCAGAGGGAGCGGAACAAGAGCCTGCAGGGCACCATCCGCAGCCTCGAGGCCGAGCTCCAGCGGTGGCGCAATGGTACGGCAGGTCGGAGGTCGTGGGCTGCCCCCCCCCCCCCCCCATTGTTTGTAGCCTGGTGGGGTCGCGTCAGTATTTTAGTTCCGTTATATTTGATTAATTATTATTGTTGTTGTGATAACATAAAATAAAACCAACAAAGCCTTGGATGGGGCATTCACTTGCAACTGTAAGGTCCGGTGCTCGCCGAGCTGCATTTGCTTCCATTTGCCGAACGAATACATTACAAGGTCGCACTCATTACGCACAAATGAACCACGATACCTTGCCGATCTCGTGGAGGAGAATAGACCGTCACGCGAAATCCTCCCGGCCATCCTCGCGGCAGCGGCTTGCTTTTGGCTGGCGATCGAACAAAGATAGTCACCACATCGCGCGCTTTCGGATGCGCTCCTGCGGCCGTCTGGAACGCTCTTCCTTCTGATTTCTTCAGAAATGCTTGTTGTGTTTCGCAGGCGAGATGATGTCGCCACCGTCGCCGGAAGAGGAGGAGCGGCGCGGCGCGTGGAGGCCCCACGTGGCGCAGACGGCGCCGGGCGCTCCGCCCTCGCGGGGCGACACCGTGCCGTCGGCGTCGCCGCCGGCGTCGCCGCAGGCGGGAGACGGCGGTGGCGGCAGCGGCAGAATCAGCGTCTACCCCGGACTGGACGACGCGGAGCCTCGCGTCGTCGAGGAGCGGCTCCGCAAGCTCTACCGCCAGCTCGACGACAAGGTGCGCGAGAGGCCCGTTGCAAGAGGGTTCGCGATTAATGCCCGCGGACCCCCGTGCGGGTGTGTTTATTGCGACGGTAGCTGACATCTGCTTCAGGTGTGCCCGAGCGTCATGGTCCGAAGTTTGCCGAATTTGATCATTCATGTGGTAACATTGCCGCCCGATGGCCGGTGTTGCATTCACCTCGTGCCAGGCAGGGACGGCTGCCCCCGGGGGGTTCCCTGCCTGCGGTGCCTCGATGTGTACTGCGTGGGGAGGCACGGTGTGAATATTAAGCGATGATGATGATGACGATTGTGATTGGGCGGGTGGACAGGGTGTGCATATGACCCGGCAGTTTTTAGGTTTTAATCGGCTTGTGATGGTTGAGCTACAGATGATCTCTCAAACAACCTGTGGCCAGGTCCACAAAGGGGTAAGGATTTGCATGTACAGGCTCGGATGCCAATTGCCACTGGAGTTTTTTATTGGCAAGGAATCGAACCTGGGTTTCTACACTGCGGTACACGCTGCTCTACACGCTAGGCCAACACCCTCTTGACGAACGCCCGCACACACACTCAAAGATGAAGGCCTCTCCACCTGGTCATTGGGCGTTGTTTGACCACACCATACTGCACCGCGCCAGTCAACGCCGGTCGGTGTCGGTGAAAGGGGGATGAGCAGGTTTGTGTCGCTTACGTTCGCCACGGCTGAGAATTAAACTCTGCTTGCCAGGCTTATGTCGCGCAGCATGCTGACCACTGCTGCGCTCAAAAACGACGCTGGCGAGTGACCGCGGTGGCGTTGCGTGCGGTTGCGTTGGCAGGACGATGACATCACCCAGCAGGCTCTGCTGGTGGAGAAGCTGAAGCAGCAGCTGATGGAGCAGGATGAGGTGAGCAACCCCGGGCATTGGGCTAAATTAGAACTCTCAGGACCTCGTGTATTGGCTTTATCCTGTGTGTGCGACTGTTGTGTGTGTGCTTGCGTGCCTGCGAAATGTAGGGGGGGTGGGGGGGGGCAGTGCAGTGTGTTCGCGCATTGCGCTACGAACTTGGCGGTCAGAGTTCAATTTCCGCTCGCGACCAATGAATCGCCGCGACGAATATTTGAACCAATCCTGGGCCCTCCGTTAGGTTGACTCGGCCTGAATTGAGTGCCTGCCGTGGTGTATATTAAACATGAGCGATTTGCGTGGGGGGGGGTTTGGCCACGTGGATCCATTAAGGTCGCTGCGACTTTAACGGATCCTCGCGAGCGGCACTCGCCACGGCAAGCGCGCGCGCGAGATTCACACGGGAACGGGGACGGGGATGGGGACCTTCCAGATGCTGGCGTGGTCGCGGCGGGACGACGCCGGCCTGCGGGAGGAGCTGGCGCGGCTGCAGCGGGAGAACGAGGCGTCGCGCGACGAGGTCAAGGAGGTGCTGCAGGCGCTCGAGGAGCTGGCGCTCAACTACGACGCGCGCTCGCAGGAGGCGGAGGAGGGAGCCAAGGAGGTGGCGCTGCTGCGCCTCGATCTCCAGCGCAAGACGGTGAGGGACGGCCCTGGGTCGTGCACCCCGCATCTTACGCGTGTCCGTGTGTACGCGTGTTCGTTGTCTCCGCGCGCACGCCGTCACACGTGTCCATGTGTACGCGTGTCCATGTGTGCGCGTGTCCGTGTGTACGCGTGTCCGTTGTCTCCGCGCGCCCGTCGTCACGCGTGTCCGTGTGTACGCGTGTCCATGTGTGCGCGTGTCCGTGTGTACGCGTGTCCATGTGTGCGCGTGTCCGTGTGTACGCGTGTCCGTTGTCTCCGCGCGCCCGTCGTCACGCGTGTCCGTTGTCGCTGCGCGCACGCCGTCACACGTATCCGTGTGTACGCGTGTCCATGTGTGCGCGTGTCCGTGTATACGCGTGTCCATGTGTGCGCGTGTCCGTGTGTACGCGTGTCCGTTGTCTCCGCGTGCCCGTCGTCACGCTTGTCCGTGTCTCCACGCGCACGCCGTCATGCGTGTCCGTGTGTGCGCGTGTCCGTGTGTGCGCGTGTCCGTGTGTACGCGTGTCCGTGTGTACGCGTGTCCGTGTGTGCGCGTGTCCGTGTGTACGCGTGTCCGTTGTCTCCACGCGTCCGTCGTCACGCTTGTCCGTGTCTTCGCGCACACGCCGTCACGCGTGTCCGTGTGTACACGTGTCCGTGTGTGCGCGTGTCCAGGCACGGCTGAGCACGGTGGAGGCCGAGCTGCTCCGCCTGCACGAGTCGAGTTCCTTCCAGCGCAAGAAGACGGCCGAGAGCGCCGCTCTGCTGCTGCGCGACGTCGCCGAGATCCACGCCGCCCTCGGTGGCGCCGCAGACGGCAAGGTGGGGGGGGGGGGGGGCCCTTGTCCCCGCCGAATCGGAAATCTTTATTTGGAGGGAGGGAGGGATCCGATGAGCTCTATGAAGCTCGATTTGTCAACCTATGTGCAGATTGGGCGGGGTTCAGAAAGTTACAACAGCAACAAAAAAACACGACGAGAGAAAAATTAGAGACTAACTACCTCGCCCTGGTATACAGGAGATCGTGGGTTCGATCCTGACCTTGACGATGCCTGTGCATTTGGAGTTTGCATGTTCTATCGTCACGTGGCCACGTGGAGTATTTGGCTGCTGTACAGTTCCACGTGATAAGCGACTTCGTTGAGCTATCATTTGTGGCCAGGTCGCTTCTGAAAAAGAGCTGCATAGCTCAGTGGGCGTGACCTGGTGAAATAAATCAGTAACGATAGAACATGCAAACTCCAAATGCACAGGCATCATCAGGGTCAGGATTCGAACCCACGTTCTCTGTATATCAGGTGAGTTAGTTAACATCTCGCCAACCATGGCGCCCATCTACTGCCCATCTACTCTCGGCACGGCGTCGGTCCTCCCTGCCCCGTGCGTTGGCAAGACCCCCCGTACCGCGTCTTTAGACGGGCGACGCCGCCGTTGGCCTGGGCTTGAAACGTCTGACGCTGCCCGTCCCGTGGTCCCGTGCAGGCGGAGCAGCAGGCGGGCGGTGCGGAGGACGAGCTGTCCACGGTGCGCCTCGTCCTCACCAAGCTCAAGTCGGAGGCCAAGTCGGCGACGCGCCGCGCCTCGCAGCTCGAAGCGGAGCACGCCGACGCGGAGCGGCGAGCGCGGGCGACGGCGCTGGAGCTGGAGGGCGCGCGTCTCGTCACGTCGCAGGCAAGCGCGGGCGGCGGGCGGAGTCGGCGGCGGCGTCGGCGGCGCGTGTCAGTTTGTGAGAAGCGCAGGGTGGTGGCGCTGCGGCCCTCGAGCCGCGTGTTGAGACGCACCACTCGCGCCGGTTTTGGCCGTGGGTGGTTCTCAATTTGGGACTCTGCGACGACAACGGCCGGTGCTTTCAAATGTTCTCGTCGTTGCTTCTCTTCCGCCTTCTGCGATATCCCGCAACGTGTCGTCAAGTCTGGTCCCGGCCGCCATCGGGTTTCTCGGTCGTTCCCTTGGCCACCGACGTCCGGGCGTCTTCCTGCCTCTGGGCTGCCACTCCATCGTTAGTCTCGACCTCCGGCTGTCATCGTCCCGTCTGACTTTGGAAGTAGCCCCGATGATGACCTTGTTAAGTAGCCCCAGTGAGCTTAACACGGAGGAGGCTTTCGCGACCAATATCATTCATAATAGAGGTTTTTGGGTTAGATCGCGTAAATATATGTGTCGTTAAAACCCGCCACCACACGACACAGCCAACTAGCAAGGGTTGTCACGTAAACAGAACGTGCAAATTCGTCACCGGTGTGCTGTACTAGTGACGAATTGGCCACGTTCTGTTTACGCGACAACCCTTACTAGTTGGCTGTGTCGGGTGGTGGCGGGTTTTAACGACACATATTTACCTGATCTAACCCAAAATCCTCTATTATAGCCCCGGTGACTTTGGAAGTAGCCCCCGGTGACTTTGCCTTGTGCCCTGTGTGCCGCTGCTGTCCCCTGGCAGCACGAGTCCAAGGTGCGATCGCTCTCCGAGTACCTGCAGGCGTCCGAGCAGAGCAAGCGGCACCTGCAGGAGGCCCTCGATGCCCTCGACGAGGAGGTTGTGACGCTGCGAGCACAAGGTGGTCCTACTCGCCAGCCAACACCAGGGTCTGTGAAAAGGGGGCTTCCAGAGCGCATCGGATTTCTCCACGATGGAGATTCTGATTCTCTGTGGGCACTGCCGAGAGACTGAATGAATGTTTCTTGTTTTGTTTCTGACACGGCCGACTGAAACCCCACAGAAGCGCGCGCCGTGGCCTTCAGAGACCAGGAGCAGGAGCATCTCGACAAGATGCAGAGCGAGAGGGAGATGAAGGTAATGTCCTTCCCCCACGCCGCTTTTCTCTCGTTCTCAAGTTGTCAAATTTAGTTTCTCGCATCCAAGCCCTGTGCATTGCCGTTGAGCGAAGGCAGGGAGACACGGGGGAGAGAGACTAAACTAAAACGAAACGATTTTTATTTTACCAGGTAAGGCCCACTTGAGCTATGTAACTCTTTTTCAGAAGTGACCTGGGCACAAATGATAGCAAAATTAAGTGGCTTGTCGCGTGGAAATTTATAGCAGCCAAATACTCTAAATGCATGTTTCTAAATGCGGGGGGGGGGGGGGGGGGGGGGGAACCGGAGGACCTGGAGAGAAAAATCCACGCGACCAAGGGGAGAGAGAGACATTTAAACTCCAAATATACAGCAGCAGGCGTCAGGGTCGGTGTCGACCCCATGACCTCCTGTATACCAGGCGAGGTAGTTAACATCTTGCCACCGTGGCATTAACAGACAAGATAGCAACACCACGATACAGTTCGAGACAAACCCAACCGGCACTCGCAGTGAAGTCGCCATACACAGAGCAGCACCAGCGAGTCCCAGGGCATCCTTGAGCAACCAAGTACCTTGAATGAGCTGAGCCCCAAGACATCCTTCCTAGGGGAGTCCTTCACCACACAAGTGCCGTGACATCTGCCACTCACCGTATAGCCTTTAGCAGACTGGTGGGGCAAGTGCTGTTAGCGAGTATCACCTGTGATAGCCGACACATGGCACACTCGGAGGTGGGTGGCCAGCACCACGACCGCTTGATGCACACACACTCGCAAAGACAAAGATCCCCCGTATAGCCTGAACGCACTGTTGGGGAAAGTGCTGTTGGCGAGCACCTATGAAGGCCGGAACAGTACACATGGGGGCGGGTAGGTGGCCAACACCACGCCCGACCACCTTTGTCTCCCCGGTGGCGATGTTTACACATTGCACCAGGTACTCATTTTAGGCTGAGTCGACCTAGGGGAGGCCCAGAACCAGTTCAGATAATCATCACCGGTGTTGACTGCGAGCGGGAATCGAACTCGGGTGGCCGGATTCGTAGCGCAGCGCGCAAACCTTGGCACTACCGCTCCCCACGGCACACGAGGGGGTGGGTGGCCAGCACCATGAGCGCTCGACACACACGCACACGCGCACACGCGCACAGGCACACGCACACACGCACACACGCGCACAAGCAGACATGCGTGCGTGCGGTGACCCTGAGCACTTTGGTGTGGTCCGCCCAGGAGTTGGTGGAGCAGCAGCTGGAGAGCCACCGGGAGGCGCATCTCCTGCAGCTGGCGCGGCTCCGTGACGAGCTGGCCGGGCGCCAGGCCCTGCTGGACCAACTCACCGAGTACGCACGCACGCAGACACGCACGCACGCAGACACGCACGCAGACACGCACGCAGACACGCACGCACGCGGTCACGCACGCACGCGGTCACGCACGCAGACACGCACGCACGCAGACACGCACACAGACACGCACGCAGACACGCACGCAGTCACGCACGCAGACACGCACTCAGTCACGCACGCAGACACGCACGCAGACACGCACGCAGACACGCACGCAGTCACGCACGCAGACACGCACGCAGTCACGCACGCAGTCACGCACGCACGCAGACACGCACGCAGTCACGCACGCAGTCACGCACGCACGCAGTCACGCACGCAGTCACGCACGCAGTCACGCACGCACGCAGACACGCACGCAGTCACGCACGCAGTCACGCACGCAGTCACGCACGCACGCAGTCACGCACGCAGTCACGCACGCACGCAGTCACGCACGCAGTCACGCACGCACGCAGTCACGCACGCAGTCACGCACGCAGTCACGCACGCAGTCACGCACGCAGTCACGCACGCAGTCACGCACGCAGTCACGCACACGCCGTCCACCTCTGCCGATGTTCTCCAGCTGACGCGGTTACTCTGATCAACTTCACGCACACGAGAGCTCGCGGACAATATTATGATGTTAATAATTCACATTCATAAAGGGGTGCGTTTTGTCCGTAGATCCCATTGCGCCACCGTGCACTGGAAAGCCGAGAAATGAACAGAACCTGCACAGGATAAACGGCCAGAACTAGTGGGGGGGTGAAGGTCAGATTAAATGGGCGAGTTTTCAAGACAGGCGTAACTATCTCTAACGACTCTGATCGTCTTACGAGCAAATGTAAGGCGTTTCGAAGCTTGAGAACTGCGCAGTTGTAAACAGCCCGACCACCCCAGGAACCGAGCTTTAACCTCGGGGTCTTTAGAAGAAGGCGATACGGAGATATTGGGCACTTCCTTGGAGAGTCAACGTGCGGACCAGTTCCTGTAGACATTGCGCGAGGCCACGTAATGATCTGGCCCAGGTTTATGTCGTACGGACCTCCACCACCCGACAGAATGAGCAGGTGAAAGCTGTCGTTTGTACGAGTGTTTAAACACATTCCTACGCAGGGAGCTGGTAGGAACGTTGGGTTGCTCGGTCAATGGCTAGGGTCAACGGCGGCGTGGTGTATTCCGCAAATATACCCGACTGTGGGGCGGGCACAAGCCAGCGTGAGTAGGTTAAACGTTGAGTTTTATAAGGGCACCACGGGGTGACCAGCCCCTCCCCACCCAGCCCCACCCCTCCCACCCCCCACCCAGCCCCACCCTCCCCACCCAGCCCCTCCCCACCCTCCCCTCTCTACCCAGCCCCACCCCTCCCATTTTTGGATGCACGACGGACGGACGGACACAATAATCCCCTGTGGGCTGGTGTAACCAGGAGGTTCCTACCAGTACTACGCAGCCAGTTCGCGTTGCTTGAGGTCACCACTGAGCTGAAGAACACTACTCGCAGCCAAAGTTATCAATTGTATGCGATATCTGAATTACTGAATTGTCAATAATTGTTAAATGTGGCCAGAGTGTTGCTCTTCGACGTATTATTGAGCCGAAATATAATAAGTGGCGCATTTAACGCTTTTCATGTGACAATCTCGTGCGTTGCCGAAATAATATTTATTATCATGATGCCAACGCGATGGAGTTCACACTCCGTCGGTAGCCTTGACCGTGGTGCTTAAAATGAACGTGCGGGGAACAGGCGTACCAACGCTTTGACATACTTGAATATGAAAGGCGCTTTATGAAGTAAGACATTATTACGATCGTCACGCGCGGTGATGTTTTGTTGTTGTGACGTCGACGGTGCTCGTGCCGCCGCTGCCGTGCGTGCGTGGTGGGGTGGTGGTGGTGGTGGTGGCGTGGTGGCGCAGCACCAACGCGGAGCTGGCGCTGCAGCACGGCGCTCTCCGCGCCGACTACGAGCGCCTGCGGAGCGAGGAGCAGGAGAAGAGCAGCCGCCTTCACGAGCTCACGTGGGTCCCCCAAGCCCCCCCCCCCACCCTCCCAAGCCCCCCCCCACACAAGCCCCCACCCAAGCCCACACCACAAATCAGGAGGACGTGGGTTCGATCCCGACCCTGGCACCTGTGTATTTGGGGTTTGCGTGTCTCTCTCTCTCTCTCTCCCCCCGTGGCCGCGTGGGTTTGTATCCGGGTCCTCCGGTTTTCCCCGTCAGCGTTTAGAATCGACGTCAGGCGTTTAGAGTGGTTGGCTGCCGCTCTACATGTCTACATGACGATAAGCCACTGTCATTGAGCTATCGTTTGTGACCAGGCCGCTTCTGGACAAGAGCTAGACAGCTCGGTGGGCCTTCCCATGTACAATAAAAATTGTTGAGTTTAAAATTTAGTTCAAGTTGTTTTCCCTTCTAGTGATTTCACAATTCAGCATATTGTTAAAAACATTTATTTTTGACCTTTGATGCAGAGGATGGTGGGGGGGGGCTTAAATATTTATTTATATTTGCGTGCCATATTGACACGAAATTTGTATTTTTCTGAGTGGTAGCACACTGCACTGTGGAGATTTATTTTTATTATTACGGCTATCAGTGGTTCCAATGGTATCAGTGGCTAATTATTATATATCTCAACCAGTCAGGGCCCTGCCCCTTTCATCGAATCATAACCTCCAATTGTGACCGTTCATTGAATGGCAAGGTAGGGGTGGGTGGATTGTTAAAATCGCTTTGTTCATAAACACGATTAGAGCACGAGTTTGTATTCGCTGCTTCACGATTAATATTCGCCTGCCCTTCGTAGGTTGGTGCATGACCGCAGGAATCAAGCTCAGCAGGACCTCAAGGAGCTGGAGGAGACGGTGGTATACAATTAGTTTATTCGCGTTCAACTTGAAGCTCCAGTGTTGTTGAAACAAAGCGGGAACCCAAAAGAGACCGGCATCGGCTCATTTGAAAGAGTTACAGCTGCTGCCAGTAGGGAGCATTGAATGCCGCAGGTGTATGGGGCAAATTGTCCTCCCCGTGATGCGTTTCGTCCGTCCCATCGCAATGTGAATTCTGCTGAAGGGTTTGAATCGCGACGTTTTGTTTCGTGGTAACATTTGTTCTTGGAGTTGTATTTAGTGTCGAGGTTTACTGCAGCTATTCACAAAGGCGTACGTTCCCAAGATGCTCGTGATTGGCAAATTTCGTGGACAATCTTGATTTGAAGCTTTCGTGACTGCAGGAATCCCTACTCGTTGGTTCTTTCGGTAAAGTCACGTAGGTAGAAAAAATAATAGATCACGACGTTTCGATCGCCACACAAGCAATCCTCCCACCTGAAGACGATTGCCTCCCACCTGAAGACGATTGCTTGTGTGGTGATCGAAACGTCGTGATCTATTATTTTTCCTACCTACGTGACTTTACCGAGAGAACCAAAAAGTTCGTGGATAACGGCATTAGCCTACGGACACCGTACGCGCAACATCTGCAGATGCTTCTAAAGCATCGAAGTTCCCTATCTCTCTCATCACTTTCTCTCTCAATGCTGTCGTGTAGAGTTCCAAACGCGATTCGCGGACATCCAAAATCGCGGATAGCAAGTTGGTGAATCACGAGGGAATAGCTGTAATTCCAATTTAAGTAATTTGCGGTGGAAGTTTCAAACTTAGCAAATTTGGAACCTGACGCCGATGGAAATTCGATGGATTGTCACGTTTCAGGGTCGCGCTTCAATTTCAAGTCGATTTTTAACATTGTGCTGCCACTGCGTGCCTTACTAGCGGTCGCAGATGTCACGTGAATGAATTACACAAAGTATACGATTATAAAAAAATAATTTAATCAATTAATCGAGCATTGGTCAGTGTGATGATGTGTGGAAAAACAACCTCCATGACCAGCGCACAGCAAAGGTCGAGACCTTTTTTTCCAGCAGTGGAGTTGACAAGGGCTTTCAATAATTATTCTTAAACGGCAAATGGATTTACCCTTCAATGTCTTAAGTTTGGACAAGCCTGGCATTCACAAGTAAAAAACCCCATTGATTAAACGCAACAAAACTGATCATGCAGGCAACGGCTGAAATGAAGAAAGTTTATTATATTTGAATACAATACTTGTTAAGGATTAACATCATAGAGCGGTCAATAGATATACATTCGAGTAATTCCGTTTAACATAGTTGCCACCGTGCCACGTGGGCCCTGCTATTTATGACCGGCTTGGAGGGGGATTTATCATAAACATTCCTCTCCTCTTGCCCGATTGGACACCGGTCCATGTCAGGAGTCTTCGTGCGGCAACCTGTGAAATTGCGGATGGCTGGCTTGGGTATTGCCGCTGTGCACACAGTTCATTGCTTTTGTGTCTTGCCCCCCCCCCCCCTTCTCCTGGCAGGCTAAAGAGCTGCAGACTCTGCACAACCTTCGGAGGCTGTTTGTGCACGATGTTTCCACCCGCGTTAAGAAGGTAACGGGCGAGGGGGTGGCATGGCGGCTACGAGGTCAGACCACCAGCTGGGATCCTGCGTTCTAAACTAAACTCACATTTTCATTTTACCAGGCCAAATACACAACTTGGCTACCGTACGTCCGACAGCGTACGTAGGTCGCTGTGAATATCCCAGGGCAGCGTGCAAGCAAAACATGCCACACGCACGCAATCTGCTGGTCTGCCATGGGGACCTCTTTTGCCAGTAGCCAGTGTACTGTACACCCTAAGTGATCACCTCGTTGTTCACAAGCAGTAAACAATTATTGTTTTACAATTTTTTTTAGTTTACCAGGTAAGGCCCACTGAGCTATAAAACTTTTTTTCAGAAGTGATCGGGTAACAAATGATAGCCCAACGAAGTGGCTTATCACGTGTATATGTATAGCAACCAAATACTCTAAAATGCACGTTGTTCCTAAATCTGGAGGGAAAAACCGGAGGACCCGGAGAAAGATCCACTCAACCACAGGATGAACAATGCCACCGGTTCAAATCCAGATGGCCACCTCTGATTAAACCGAGTTCTCAGTTGAAGAGAGTTTATGCTCGGAGTGGTCACCAATGAATGCTAAAAAAACTACTATAATTGGCCAAATGTTGTCACGTCACGTGATGGAATTTGCCTATGAACCAAATCATCTGTAATGCATCATCCAATCTGATCAGTTCCAAGAAACCGCACACGTTTGACCCTTGATGGTGTTTTGATGGGGTGACCACCACGCATCGTAGATGTCAAGCTGTGAGGCTGCATTGTCAGCAGAGGGCGGTGCAGTAGAATCCATTGTTCTGCAGAGTTAAAGCTCTGGCTAGCTGGGCTATTCGGAGGGGGTCCATGGTCTTGGATGGCTGAAGCTTCTGGCCATCAGGGAACGCATTTAAAATAAATTTAAACAACAAACAAACCCATTTGTATTTGAGCATCTTTGCTTGTTTCTTGGTGATAAACTAATGTCTCCTTCGCAAATTTGTCTCCACGTAAAAGACAAAATGATATCTTACGCGACACATCGGCCGCCATAGCCTACTGGGAGTCCGTTTCGGCAGCATTGTATCAAGACGAGCAAACTCTGGGCCGGTTCTAACATTCAGGGTCTCATCAGCTTGCTTGAATCTGTTCGTGAACTGCCCATCATCTTAGAGTCGAGGACCCTGTCTTTACAATGTGGGGTTCAAGTTTGTCAAAATGACACCGTGATACATCAACTCAAATTAATAATGAGCGTCGTCGTCGAGAATATAAATAACGAAACAGGCAAGCAGACAGTGTACCCTTCACATATCTGTTTCCACGTAAAACATTTTAACGATTTCTTACACATCCCATTAGCCGCAGGGCCTTCTGGGGGTGCATCATTTCGGCAGCATTGTTTCAAGACAAGCATTGGTGTGCAGAGGGTGCTGTGAACACCTTCACCAAATGGTCAACTAAGCGTTGAGGAGGCCCTCATCCAGCAGTGGATTAACAATGAATCCGCGATGGGATGTCTGCCTCGTCCTCCGCCACTTCTGCAGATGTCGGGGACGGACCCGATGGAAAGTGCGGCCAACGGAACTCACAAGATCGGCTTCCTGGAGTCAAACCTGAGCCAGCTCACATCTATCCACAAGCAGGTGTGGACTGTGCTCGTGAGAATGTTGCATTTTTTTTTTACTTTGTATATGTACCGTTTTCGGAAGAAAATAAAAACTTGAAGTTTATCCAGGGCTCAAATAATCGTTGGGACCCTACTCATCGGTGGCCTACAGATAGATCACTGTGGAGAACGCCTCATCTTGTCACACCTCGGAAGCCAAGCAGGTTCGTAGCAGGATAAGAGACTGCTTCGGGAAAACGCCGAATGATGTGGGCTTAGGCTTCAAGGGGGGCCCGTGAGGTGGTAGTACAGCAGCCGATTGTTAGATCCATCTGTGCGGGGGGTGTGTGTGATGATGATCGGCAGCGGTGGCGAGATGTTAACTACCTCGCCTGGTATACAGGCATTCATGGGTACGATCCCGACCCTAACACTTGTTTTTTTAGTTTGCTTGTTATCGCTTCCCGAGAACACGTGGATTTTTTCCCGCGTCCTTTGCTTTTTCCCCTGCACATTTAGAAACGGCATGCGTTTTAGAGTATTTGGCTGCTGTAAATTTCCACACGATAAGCCACTTCGTTGGGCTGTCATTTGTGATAGCCAGGTCGTTTCTGAAAAAAGAGCTATATAGCTCAATGGGCCTTACCTGCTAAAATAAAGTTTTAAATAGTTTAGTTTTTACATTTGAGCCGGTGTTCGTCCGTACATAGCCAGCCGTGCTAAAAATCGATGAACCCTCCGCCCCCCCCCCGCCTCTCACCGCGACAGCTGGAACGTGACAACGCCGACCTGCGCGGGGAGCTGCCGCGTCTCGAAAGGCGCCTGCGGGGCACGGCGGAGCGCGTCCACTCGCTGGAGGGGGCGCTGGCCCAGGCGCGCGAGAGCGCCGTGCGCGAACGCAGCCGCCACCAGCTGCAGATGGAGCGCATCAAGGAGAGCGTGCGGGCCAAGGGCGCCGCGCGGCGCGCCAACGCTCGTGAGTGGCGCCACCCGACCTGAACGGCTGCCCCCAGCACATCTGGGCGGCGTTTGGTGCCCAGTTGATCCCCCCCCCCCCCGCGCTCCGATTAGCTCACCTCCGAATAGCACCGTTGGCTATGTACGGTGCGAAAGAAGTTCAACATGCCAGAGACGCCGAGTTGGGAAGTGAGCGGACGGTAGTCCAGCACGATCCATCGAGTGCTAGTCCAGCACGATCCATCGAGTGCTAGTCCAGCACGATCCATCGAGTGCTAGTCCAGCACGATCCATCGAGTGCTAGTCCAGCACGATCCATCGAGTGCTAGTCCAACACGATCCATCCAGTGCTAGTCCAGCACGACCCAGTGATAGTCCAACATGATCCATCGAGAGGTAGTCTCGGCAACACGACCTGAACTACAAACCCCCGCGACCCATGCGCCATGGGGGAGGCCCTCGCCCAGCTGTGGATCAACAAGACCAGCGAACTCGCCCACCGCAAGCGCAATTGTCGATTCCGATCCGCGAAATCGACGCGTCACGGCTTTGCCTACTACCAAACTGCGCACATTGATGAAGCTGGTTGTAGTTACTGGCGAAACGTCGTACTCGAATTGTTAATGTTGTGGGTTTACTCTCCCACACACTGGTGCACCGGCGTGCTGTACTAGTGACGTATTGGCATGTTCTGTTTACATGACAAACCTTACTCATTAGGCTGTGTTGGGTGGCGGCGGGTTTAACGACACATTTATATATTCATCAGATGGAACCTAAAAAAAACGTATTTTGGACATTTATATATTTACGCGATCTAACCCAAAAAACCTGTTAGTAGGGATGATATTGGTCGTGAAAGTCTCCTACGTGTTAAACTGCACGGTGTTTTGTTGCAGCTAAGCGCGTGCAGCCGGGTCAGCCTCCGTGCACCACCGCCATCCGCGGAGGTGGCGCCCTTGTCGTGAGCCATCACATCGCCGTGCGTGGAGGTGGAGGAGCCGGAGGTGGTGCTGGAGGAGGTCGCTGGTAAAAAGCCGCATTGTCGGCATCGCCACAGCGACACGGGGGGGCGGCGACTTTGGCGAGCTGTGGCACGTTTTGCCGTTTAGTTTCGGATGATTGCGGTTCGAGCCCAGCGGCCGCTCCGGTTAATACTGCGGTGGCGTTAACCGCGAAATACCACGAGACAACTGCTTTGCGGTGGACGTGAAAGATCCCGTCACGATATTGGATCCTTAGTCGGCCATGTGTGCCGGGGGTCATGGTCCAAATTTACCGGTTTCGAAAAAATGTACACGCACATTTACAACTATTTTTTGAACTACATTTTCCTTCCACAGGGCACAGTGGTATTTAAGTAGATCCCATGAAGAGGGCCTTTGTTCGGGCAGTTCCCACAGTACGTCAGTTATGAGGCTGCACAGTGGGATAAACCTATTAATGATACCCAAGCACACACCTTGTACGTTTGCCGAGGTCTGGCTGTCCACCCAGACACCTGGTTATTGTGAGATGACCAGCGAGGGATGATGATGATGGTAGTGGTGGTGATTTAGACGGCTCGCCAGAGTAGATTGTGTTGTAACAATGCCTTTGGTTTGCTTCTCCCATCTTTATCCGGCAGCGTTAATCCAGAGACTGACGATGCGGGGAGCTAGTTCCTTCCGGCAGCCTTGGCGACACAGTCAAGGTAACGGGATGAATGGTCTGTCCACATGGGGTTCGTGGCTGGCTTCTGGGACATCTGTGAAAAGAGCTTTATAGCTCATCCGATTTCTCCAATAGAAATATTCTGATTCTGATAAAGATTCTGATGCCCTTGGGCACCCGATGATTCACAGTCAGATGGTTGGGAGTTCAAATCTAGGTGGGGGGGACCAACTTGGCCAAATAGTATTCGAGGGTAGATAAAATAGGTACCATTTTGTGGAAGGCAACTTGCTAAATCAGCACCTCCCTCCTCCCTCCACACCTACAACAACCCCTCCCTCCCCTTACCTACCCCTCTTGGTCCACCAGTTGTCTGCCACTGCTGCCACCTATTAATCCACCAAACTTGCCAAAATATATGTTGATGTGGACCTAAGACCAAAAGGACAATGAGGCACTTAAGGAAATGCTAATGGGGCTTTTCACGTCTTGTTTGAGACTTGTATCTGAACGTTGTTGTTGTTTATTGTTTTCTTTTGTTTGCTTTGTACAGACGACGTTGCATTGAGACTCAAGCAGAAGTCTGGACATTCGTAATCGCACACCACAAAATCGTGTGCGTGCGTGCAAACACACACGCACACACACAGATCCTTCATTCAATACCCCCGTACCCTGGGGAAGTTGAAACAATGGGGCAAGTTTCTCTGTCCATGACCCATATCGTGGGGTTAAAGTGTGGGTGCTCCGTCTTTCTAAGCGGTCGCGCCAGCATGGAAGAGTAGGCCTAATACTACTAGAGGGACCTCTGGAGCTGCCGCTTAGTGGAGGCCGTTCTGTGAGCAAAAAATTGCAGGGCTGCATCTTGCGTTTCTTTTTGGCCTGGGGGCACATGTTAATGAGCTCCTGTCAAGTCCGGCATTGACGCTGGGAGCTTTATCACGTGCAGTACACACACCTAGCCACGAGCGCGGATTTTAAAGGACCGCAATGCACCACACATTACTTTTTTCAGGCCGAGTCAGTCTAAACTAAAAACAATTAAACTTTTATTTCACGAGGCCAAGGCCCACTCTGAGCTTTATAGCTTTCTCAGAAGCGACTTTGCCACAAAATAGCTCAACTTAGTGGCTTGTGTGGAAATTTATAGCAGCCAAATACTCTTAAAACGCATATCGATTCTAAATAAGGCAAAAGCCGGAGGACACGGAGAAAAATCCACGGGACCACGGGAAGAGAGAAACTTGCATTCTTCAAATATACAGCAGGCTTCAGGGTCGAGATGGAAACCCACGACCTCCTGCATACCAGGCGAGGCAGTTAACATCTCACCACCGTCGCGATCCAGTGGGAGGTTCAGAGGATGTTTTAGACGCGGATCGTTGCATGCGATCACGAGCAGGAGTTGAACGCGGTTCTGCAGAAATTGCAGCGCCCTCGCGCAAACCACCACGGCACACCAACACCAACCACGAGTGCCGCCCGTCGACATGCTGCGCGAACCGCGTGACGCGTGTTGCGGTGAGACGATGTGCTCCGCCTGGCCAAACAAGCGCAGTAGAAAAAGGACAAAAAAAACACGCGCGGGTTTTGTTCGGTTTTAAATGTTACTGTATCGTGAAACATTTCTGACAACGTAGCAATATAAATTAATTGTTGTGAGAAATATGCCAATTTGACTCGAGCACTTGCCTTAATAATTGCCGTGATGATTTTCCAACCCAGTTTAGTATTTAAGCGATGCGATAAAGATGCGTCTGCGCACGATGACATCTGCACGGTTGCGAGGGCTCTTCCTGCTTGAATGTCCACAAAACATGAACTGGACATCTGTGATGAGCTTCACAGCTCAGATCCCCCCCAGTCTACAATCAAGAATCTGAACATCGGAGAACTCTTATTGAGTTCTCACCAAGGGTGGGACCAGGGGAGCTTCCCTTGGGCAACTTAAACTTCTCATGCAATCTCAGATCTGTGCATCACGAGGTGGCGATCGAACGGCGATTCATCAGGTTTCGCCACATTTACACTGGAGTGCTCGCGATAATTAAACGCAACTTGTATAACGCGCGTTACGTTTCCACGATTCGAACGCATCGTTCGAAAGAAACGTGGGAGGCAGAGGAGTTCAAGTTTATCCTAAGCCGGGTCTGAACAGGTGAGCCTCAACAAACGAGAACCTTTAAGCTGTCGCTTGAAGGGTGGATGGTGATCAGACGCAGAGAACGTGCAGCGAGTTCTAGATGACTGGAACAGCTATAGAAGCGTTGCTCAGCCAAGAGCTCGGCTATATATTAAAACAATGCTTAACGTTGCAATTGTGTAGGAAAATGCCTTTTTTCAATTCCGCCGATCTTGTTTTTTACAGAAATATTTTGCCAAAGAGGCTGACAGTTTACCGTTTTTCGTAACCCCATACCACATCAGATCGCCCAGAAATGTGCCCAATCTCATTTAGGCCTTGGATGCCCAGAAAATGTGACCTTGGATCGTGCGGAGATGGGTGACCACCATGCACTTCCTATGCCTCCATGTCCTCTGCTTCTCACCTTCACAAACCCGCAATGACTTGCAAGGTGAAGTACGGTCAGATAACCCCCATGACCTGCACGGTAGTGGGTGGCTCTCATCCAGCAGTTGACTGACAAGATAGCTGTACAAAGCATGTAAATGCCACACAAGAGCCACGCAGATTCATCTGACACACAGTACTCTGGTTGAAAGGCTTAATGTTACCTGCCTGCTCACAATTCTCAATGTTCACAACTTAATTTGGCAAAACTGCACAATCTTAATTTTCCACTTTTGATGTCAATAACTGGATGCATAAACTATAAAACTCAAGAAATCGGGGTTTAGGTCACATGAGAGCCCAGGGTTTGAACCAAAGAATGTGTATTCTATCATGTACGCGTAATGTGTTTTTGTTTGCCTCGAATGTATGCTTTTGAATTCGTCATTTGGTGTATTTATCTTATTCGGTGATCCGTGTGATTTTTTTTGTTCGCGAGCAACATTTGGTTTTGCTGTACGGTGTTTTAATTTCGTAAAATCAGGTCTCCATTGAAAAAGGAGAATTCTCAACGGGCTCCTGCCTGGTTTTAAATAAAAAGTCACCGGTCTATCAATTTATCTCAAGTGCCAACCGTTGTTTGCAAGGGGTCGAAGCAATATTTTTCATAACATTTAGACCAGTGGTTCTTAACCCCTTTTCTGCAGCATGCACCCCTCTGGTTCTCAATCGTTAGAACATGCATCATGTTATTAAATACATCGGTGTGGTTAAACAACGTATGTTGTTACTTACGTGCCCCTGCTTAATTTGTGTTTGATTATTTACCTTCTAAAAAAATCTGGCCACGTCTCGCGCCCCCAGAAAGGGCATCGTATCCCAGGTTAAGAACCACCGATTTAGAACATTATTCTCCAACTATAAGCCAGAACTAATAACCCACCACAGCCAATCAAAATCAAGTTGTCACGTAGGCAAATATGCGAGTTGACTTGGTTTATTCCGCAAAACTGGAATGTTGCAAAGCAGAGTTTGGTCCACACTAGGTGGCAGCACTTGTACATGGACTCTGTAAAAAACACAAAGAAATGTAATTGCATGACGGTCCGTCTTGGTAATTTATCTAAATTCAAGTTGAGAGAATTAAAACAAGTGCAAACCCAAAATAATAAGTGGGTTGTGTTTGTTCCGTCATTGTGATCGCTAGACGCAACTACATTCTATCACAGAGGAAGTATCGACAAGTAAAGCATCTTGGTCTAGATCCAGTCCTGTGGAAAAGTGGAACCTGCACCTTAGGCCCACGTGCCAGAGGGGGGGGGCCTAGGTTATACATACACCCTGTGTAGACCGGCAGGTCTCTCTCAGTTCTGTCTAAACAATAAAGTGCCCGGTACATGCACAGCGTAATCCCACTCGAGCCAAGACCTTTGTGCAAGCACTGTAAGTGTTGAAAGAAGTCACTTTAAAAGTGTGAAGCACGTCCATCAGCCCCGCTCAAGTTTGCTAATCCCTTTAGTGCGAGCGGTCAGCGAGCTTGTAAATCGGCGATTAAATGTTTTGTCACCACTGTGTTTCGAGTGTTTTTTTTACCTGCTTACTCACCTGTAGGGGGCATTCCCTTTATTTCAAATCAAAGAAAGTTCACGTTTGTCCCAGGTCAAATTTGCACGAGTCGCTGCTCATCCCTGGTGGTCCCGAGCCAGGCGGTGGAAATTCCACATTCCTTTGGTAGGACCCCAACTGCTGTTGCTCGGCTTCCTCTATCAGGATTTGGACCTCGCGAACGTAGGCGGTTGTGGTTCGCACCATGTATCACAACACCACCTTTTAAAAATTGTATTGTAATACAATGTTTATGTTTAACTTCTTTTGCGCCGTACATAGCCAGCCATGCTGATGTGCGGGGTGAGGACAACAGCTCTAAAGAAATTAGTTTTTTTTATCAAGATTAAAAAAAGTGCATAGCTCCAGGGGCTTCCTAATATCGGAAGGAAGAACGTTCCAGATGGCCGCAAAAGCGCATCAGAAAGCGCCACGCGATGCAGTGACCGTCTGGTGGATGGCCAGCAGCCACAAGCCGCCGCTGCGAGGGCCACCAGAGTTCACGTGATGGTTGATGCTCTTGGCGAGATCCGCAATGACAGAATACAAAGACAACAAGGACTTATGGCATCTACAAATGTCACCATCTCAAGCCACCAGGACATAGTGAGCGTATTATTATTATTCACGGGGCCAGGTCAGCATACGTCTCTATACCAATCTCTGGGGTTTATGTGAGAGTCTACACAATTACAAATCAAATCTGAATTTAAAGTCACGTCTCAATGTCACCGCACCTGAAGAAAACTGCGTACAGAAAAGTGTGGGTGCATTTTTTTTGTATTAACGGGGCAGCCGTTGTTTTATGCAAAACCATAACACCACTCATGAGCGCCGTTGTGCAGAATATAACTAATGCATCAGCAGAAAACTACACGTCCTCCCCATATACGTCTCTCGACACAAAGTATACATTCAATCTACTTTGTACCATGTAAAAACAAAACCTCTGGGTCGAGCAGCAATTGGCTCAACACAAGCAAAACACACAACTTGGATTCGTTCAATTGGCAACCGATGGGCACCCTCGTCCCAGCAAATAAGCGACGAGGGGGGATTACCCGGGGTAATCCTCGCCTCGTTTCAAGTTCGGTCTATCTGCCGTCGCCACTAAAAGTCTGCCCCGTTTGCTGGAATGCATTAACGCGGCTTCGTGGCTACTCAGTCCAGCCCATCCGCCCCCACGCCGCCAACTCCCCCAGCTAAACTGTGGCGGCCACCGACTGACAGATCTGCGATTCGCATCTCGCCCGACCCAAAGGGCTCCTCCCGCGATGAAAAATACAAACCTGCACACACACAACGAGGGGTGGCGGCGGGGGGGGGTAAGTGGGGGGGGGTAAGTGGGTGGCGGTGCGTCAGATTTCTTTTTTTTTAGCCGAAGAGCCGGTTTTTGTTTTATCCCCCTTTTTTGGTGTGTCACGAGCAAGGGTTTAGGGTAGCCGGGGTCATTGACTCTCCCAGAGGGGGGAGGTGGAAGGAGAGCAGAGAGAGTGAGCGAGCAAAAAAAAATAGAGAGTTTAGGGAGTCTTAAAGTACACGCCCACAAGTATTTGTGAAGGGTCTAGTCAGTGAACATTGTAAGCCGCTCAAGGAGGGCGAAGTGGGGGGGGGGGGGTTTGCAAAAGGACGGTAGCATAAAAATGGGATTTTCATTGAGATGCCATTCCACAGACACCGGCAGACGTATCCCCCCCCCCCCCCCCAACGCTCGTTCTCTCGGTGCACGTGTAGTGAGAGGCACTGCTGGAGCGAAGCGAGTTAGCGAGCGCCTATTAAAGGCCACCACGACGACACCTGAGCACCTGCAGAGGAGGAGCAGTCAACATGCCTCGTTGGGACGTCAGAGACACCTGCTGAAATTTGACCGGAAAACTTTAAATCGCGTCTTCGCCACCGACCTTTCGGTGTTGGAACCCTGCCTTCTGATGTGTACAAACATCGAGTTGACCACCATGGATGTAACAATTTCACCAGCACGCGCCCCTTCCTCCCCACAATTGCTGCGGTTAGATTCTAGAATCGGTTCGTGTTAACAATGTGGTGCAGTGGCCTCTCGTGGCTGCATGGGTCACATGAACCAACAGACGAAAATAATGTATATTTTTTTCAAACAAAAAAAACCCAATCAAATCCCCCGCATATGATATTGTCAGATCGCGAGGCGGTGAACGACAGCGACAGCTTGGGGGAGGGGAGGCCTTCGTCTAGCAGTGGATATTGCTTCTGTTGAACAATATCCACTGCTCGCCTCGTCTTAATCAGTTCCCGACGTCTGTGTTGCCAGTCCGCTGCTGCTGTTGCTGCCGCTGCCGCCGTCTTTGTTTCCACACTGCGGCAACACGAGGTCACGTTTCTTTAAAGGCGCGTGTGCGTGCATGCCCCCCCCCCCCCCCAACGTCCTAATGTTCCGCACTAGCTTCGACTCCATCCCCACTGCTCGTGAGAGAGAGAGACCCGTCGGAGGCCGTCGGACTGCAAGAAGGGCTGCGTGCAGAACGAGAGAGAGCGAGAGAGTGAGCGGGAGAGTGAGCGAGAGAGTGAATGAGAGAGTGAGCGAGAAAGTGAGCGAGAGAGTGAGCGAGAGAGTGAGCGAGAAAGTGAGCGGGAGAGTGAGCGGGAGAGTGAGCGAGAGAGTGACCGAGAGAGTGAGCGAGAGAGTGACCGAGAGAGTGAGCGAGAAAGTGAGCGGGAGAGTGACCGAGAGAGTGAGCGAGAGAGAGAGAGCGGGAGAGTGACCGAGAAAGTGAGAGTGAGCGAGAGAGTGAGCGAGAGAGTGAGCCGAGAGAGTGACCGAGAGAGTGACCGAGAAAGTGAGAGTGAGCGAGAGAGTGAGCGAGAGAGTGAGCGAGAGAGTGACCGAGAAAGTGAGAGTGAGCGAGAGAGTGAGCGAGAGAGTGAGCGAGAGAGTGAGCGGGAGAGTGAGCGGGAGAGTGAGCGAGAGAGAGAGCGGGAGAGTGAGCGAGAGAGTGATCGAGAGAGTGAGCGAGAGAGAGAGCGAGAGCGGGAGAGTGAGCGAGAGAGTGAGCGAGAGAGAGAGCGAGAGCGGGAGAGTGACCGAGAGAGTGAGCGAGAGAGTGACCGAGAAAGTGAAAGTGAGCGAGAGAGTGACCGAGAAAGTGAGCGAGAGAGTGAGCGAGAAAGTGAGCGAGAGAGTGACCGAGAGAGTGAGCGGGAGAGTGAGCGAGAGAGTGACCGAGAGAGTGACCGAGAGTGACCGAGAAAGTGAGAGTGAGCGAGAGAGTGACCGAGAAAGTGAGCGAGAGAGTGAGCGAGAGAGTGACCGAGAAAGTGAGCGAGAGAGTGAGCGAGAGAGTGAGCGAGAGAGTGAGCGAGAGAGTGAGCGAGAGAGTGAGCGAGAGAGTGAGCGAGAGAGTGAGCGAGAGAGTGAGCGAGAGAGTGACCGAGAGAGAGAGCGGAGAGAGAGAGCGAGAGAGTGAGCCGAGAGAGTGACCGAGAAAGTGAGCGAGAGAGTGAGCGAGAGAGTGACTGAGAGAGTGACCGAGAGAGTGACCGAGAGAGTGACCGAGAGAGTGACCGAGAGAGTGACCGAGAGAGTGAGCGAGAGAGTGACCGAGAGAGTGAGCGAGAGAGTGAGCGAGAGAGTGAGCGAGAGAGTGACCGAGAAAGTGAGCGAGAGAGTGAGCGAGAGGTTGGGGTTTACATAAAGCTAAGTTTAAAAAAAAATACGAAATGATGAACGAAGCAAAGTGCCGAATACACCGAGCATCTTCTTGTTTCCACTGATCGTAATAAAAAAATAAAAGAGAGCGGGGCAAGGCGGGGGGGGGGGGCTTTCCTCTGCGGGCTAAGGCGATACACCACGGTGGAATGTCGTCTGGGCCCGACAAACGTCTCACGTGGGTCACAGGTGAATGCAGCCGCGGGTTTTAAGTCGGTGCCCAGAGGAACGATAGCCCCCGCTGCCTTTGCCCTTACGTGGCCTCACCCCCTCGAGGTCACAGGTAGGATCATGGGTTTATGAAAAAAAGGTATGCTTGTCGCTGGCCCACCCTGCCTGGAGGAGAGAGACGCGTGGGCTGGTAGCAAAAAGGTGTAACGAGAGGTTTCACTGGATGTCGTGTGCCGGGTGCGGATATATCTATTGGGTAGCCAACATCTTCTTCTTGGTTCTTTCGGTAAAGTCACGTAGAAGGGAAATAATAAAATAATTAAAAATAAAACATTATAAAATAAAATTCTCACGACGTTTCGGCCACAACACAAGCAGCCATCCTCAGGTGAAGAACAGGTCTGTCGGAAAGACAGCCAACTTGTGCAGACCCCGAATGGCATTAAGCTCTGGTCTCCTACCAAGTATTATAGATCTACAAACCTCATTACATTATTATCTAACCTTGCGTCCTAATGGGTAGACTGGACTTGCCATGGGAATGTGGAATTCGACGAGTAGCTCAAGCATCGCTCCATGGCTCTCGGCAGGGATAACCGATTTTGTTTTACTGTCCGGAATAAATGGCTTGAAAAGTTAATTTCTTACGAGGTTTAATAATCGTAGAGGTGGATAAATGCAAATGTATGGGGAAAAAAAACATCGATACCATGAAATGGATTTAAAAATATAGATACCAATGTTTTTTTATTCGACGTATGAAGGAACGATGAACGTTTTTTACATAAAAGCACGCGATAATTTACCCCTTTATTCATATCTTCTTTATGTTAGGGAGGGTAATTAGTCAATGATGACAAGTAAATCCTGGCTGGGATCTGAATTGACGGTCGAGTAATTGGAAACCCCACTGCTCCACCAGCCGAGTTCTACCCCAGATATAAAAGCTGCTTCTAATCTGGATTAATTTGGGCCGATACCCTGTCTAGACGGTCGAGTTTGTATTAGTAGAACAATACAAGAAATCCCCCAAAATATGTACAAATGCCACAAATGATGACACGCATGGCTAGATTTCTATACGT